GTACTACTACTACTCTCTCTCTCTCTCTCTCTCTCTCTCTCTCTCTCTCTCTCTCTCTCTCTCTATTGAGCTTTCATGGCCCAAAGAAGAGAAAACCTGAATTAAGCTACTGTAACAGTAAAAGCTCTTCAAATACAAAAACAGACACCAATATGATGTTCAGCACCTTATTATTCATTAAACTGGGATATATGTTAAACATGTATAAGAAAAAAGTAAAACAAAAGAGAATTGTTAAAAAAAAAAGATCAATTTTCTCTCTTAATGTACCTCTGGTATTAAACTGTTCACAGGTAGTAACTACCTAGAAGCAGATGAATCGGCTCCACTCTACACGGTGTGGAACATCATCCAGGCTTGAGGTCCCGTCACTGGCTAAGGTGATATTACAATCTTGATTCCTTGTTTTGATATCTATGACTTGTGTGCATAAAACACCCAGCGTGGCTACCTTCTGGATCTTACATCTGAAAATACAAATGTCAGCCAAGTACAACTACAATGACCCTACTCGTAAGATCTATTATTTTTTTTTAAATAGCCAGGATTTTCTATGCTGCTAAAGGGTTAAAATTAGTAATAGTTAGCTTAGAATAGCCTCTACCAGGCTTGAGGAAGCGGCTGGAAAGAGTAGAAATCGGCCAAAATAGAGAGATAAGCATGCCAAGGGAGTTTGGCCGTTGAGAGAACAGTTCGCCGCCCCACAGTTCGCGGCGAACTGTTCTCTCAACGGCCAAACTCCCTTGGCATGCTTATCTCTCTATTTTGGCCGATTTCTACTCTTTCCAGCCGCCTCCTCAAGCCTGGTAGAGGCTAAGCTTAGAATACTTTTAGCTTAAATTGCAAAGTTTTTTTATTTTTATTTTTCCTGCAATCTTCATTTGCAGACTGCTGATGTTTATTTGGAGCCCTAATTCTACTGACATTATTGTCCTTTTTCCAACAGCTGGGCCCTGTACTGTGGTGACCAGACTGCAGATTCACTAGAGGCGACAGCAAGGCGAAAATGAGGACTGACATTAAAATGAAATCAAATCAACAGAATCTGAATAAAATTCTTCAACGATTTCAATTTTTTTTCTGCTTTTTAAAACTGTTTTTGTCTTTCTCAACTATACTAGTTACCACCTCAACATATATATAGGGGCCACCTAGCCATTGATATACAGGCGAATCAATAACTAGTGATCACCAGTAGTGAACACCTGGCCTTCATGGTTCTTGAAATTATTTTTATCATTGACAGAAGCATTAAACATCAAGTCTAAAGTGACCAAGTCCTTCAGTGGTTGATTCATGTATCATGTTATATTCATACATATTTGACCGTACGTGGAACAAAAAGGTTGCGTTCCTCTTTGCTTTCCTTTTGCAATTGTGCCAAATATTAAAGATAGAAAACTGAACGATGGCTCAAAAAAGCTTTTTTTCATGGGATTAGCGTGGACAATTAACTGGTGATGACGTCATTCTGACGTCACAAAAATGTGCATGAATTATTATTTTACAACAAGGTGCTTGTCTTCAAAATATTAGGGTCTAACTGAAAACCAAACTTTTATTTCTTAAATATTCCTCAGACACTGTTCTACACTACGTACACCTAAAGAGACTGTACACATCTTCAAATACTGTGACTTGTGAGCTAAGCGATTTTGAACATCATGAAATCATCTGACCCTCTCAAATAATATTTTAGTGTGTAGGGCTCAAAGAAGAGAAAACTATTCTCCTAGCAGATTCTCTGTGGCAAGGAGGAGTCTATATTCAAATTTGGCTACCCTTAACCATTATCCTTTCAATACTGGGGTGTCTTGGACGCTGCCTGGTCAATTTGATACTGCATTGCATGGTTAGGGGGACAACACGTTACCCCGTAACGACTCAAAATGCACGTACGACCAAGACACGTATATATCCCCACCTTGGTTCTCTCGGTCACCACGCGCGTAATACTATTTGTAACGGTTGTGTAAGCGCCATGTGAATTCTAACATATGTGGGCAAAGGTTATCTTGGACGCGTAGGCGGGGAAATATTTTTGGCGTCGCTCCGAGGCGTAACGATGATTAATCCGTTGCCAATTCAAACATTTTGTCCTTCATGCCAAAAAAGAGTTACTCAAGCAACTGGGTGTGCTTTTGCGCCGATAAAGAGACTCTTCTTACACAACGAAGTCTTTTATTCAGCCGACGTCGCTGCACAGGTGTCGCTGCTACAGATGCTTTCCCAAATGTACAATATTTACATATCTACACATACGCGTGATTACAGGGAAATGTATGTACAATGCTGCAATGCAATATGAACCAGTCAGAGTTGCCCTGATGAAGGTGACAGGCAGTCACCGAAACGTCGGATGAATAAAAGAGTTGTGTAAAAAGAGTCTCTTTACTCAGTGTCTTAACAACCTGATGAAACTATTCACGGATAGAGTACTAGTATTGCCCTACCATGTATTTGTCCAAGGTGGAGGCATAAAATAAGTTTAAAACCCAGTGTGTCGTCACCATGTTTGGTCAAGAATTGATGTAATAGAAAAATAAATAAAAAAAAACACGTTGAAGGCCGTCTATGTGACCGGTCGCGTCGCCGTTGAGCAAATATTAGTCCGGACGCCACCTGCCGTCCCCGACCCTCACCCCTCCCCTTCCCTTCCCGAGCTATTCTGGTAGAAATGTTGCTTACATAACGCAAATGGGATTATATTTAGATGTTCATATTGACAAAAAATATGATTTTCGTGATTAAAACCTGTCTAGCTTCTCACGGGTTTGGTATATTAGGACTGCAGGTTTCTGGATTCGTTGCTTCCTACAGCCCAAGATTCAAGATTGTCGAGACTTGGTAAGTCTATGCGCCTTTTTTTATTACTTGTTCTCGGTCAATCCGATTTGTTGCTACTTTCTGCTGTGGACCAAGCGGACGACCAGTGTACCAGAACATTTGTAACCTACTTCAAAATTTAGTTCATTTTCTGCTTCGTTTGAACGACGCTAAAATTCGACTTGGGACTGCAGAATCTTTGTTCCGTTTTTTGCCCTTACAATTACCTATAGCAATGACAGCGCTATGTTGGCCATTTGCTTAGGGCTAAGGGTTAGTAGGTAGTAGTTTAATTTCTAGGTATATATACATTTTCTTACCTCAGAATTTTTATTTTCTTTCTTGTTCATCTCAAATATATATCGTCGTTCCAGAAATTCGACGAAACAAAAATAGCTATTAGATTTTCATAATTCTCCTTTTAAATCAAATATATCAGAGCAAATATATTATATTTGCCATCTACCTACCAATGACGTCATATCACGTATTTTTTCAGTTTTCCGTAACTTCAACAACCAACCATGGCTCCCTTCCTTCTGTTTTTCGTTGCCTTGGCAACTGCTTCGCCATTGAAGAGGTACGTGCTGAACTTTTCCCTTTAGCCTTTGTCATTATTGATTAAGTATACAACATAGGTATTCGTAGAGCTTACCTCAGCACACTGTTCAATGTCCTTGGGTCGAATTCGGTCGTCGCCAGAAAGTAGTGCGTAGAAAGTTACAGTAGCTAGAGACTCTTGGGATAGGTGTTAGCCACAAGGAAAGGGAAGTCCATCAGCTGAAATTCAGGCTGGGAAAACTGTACAATCTGCCCAAATACTGTTTTAATTGATTGGGAAAATCCATGGGACTGTGCTCTTATGCTGTAACTAGTAATATGGTACATGAAACAGTGCAATCAATATGTATAGAGTGCAATGTCCCTGTATTAAATACTAGTATGATAGTTTACGAATTCATAAAAATGTAGTTTCGGCGCCTAAAAAGTCTAAAGCTTCTACCTAATTTTACCTTGATCCCCCTGGGAACCCAAACTCAGGCAGGGGATGTCCTAGGAGTTTATAACCATCTGTGTATTCTATGCTTGTTCTTTGCCATATGCCTTGTAGTCTAGCTCTACATTGATCTTGATCTTGATACTGTACTGCGTAACATCCCTCGGTTGGGGTCAAACACGCAGGGGAGGGGGGGAGTGCGCAGCGCTCTAAATACTAGTACTCCTCAAGTGTAGCAGAACAGCTTCCTTAGACTTGTCGGCCTCTGGTATTTCTGGTAGGGCCTGCGGAAGCTCGTTCCAGTCTCTAACAGTTCGTGGGAAATACGAATACCTATTGCAAACATTCATACGCATCACTATGTTCTACACACAGGCAGATGTCGGCCATCGACGCCGACGGTGACGGTCTCATCTCCCGGCCCGAGGTCCATAACGTCATGACCCTGCAGAACGCACTCGTCGCGTTGGACGCCGTGGACGGTACAGACTTTGGATTTTATTAATTCTCTCTCTCTGTCTCTATCTCTGTCTCTCTCATTCTCACTGTCTGTCTGTCTCTCTATCTATCTATCTATCTATCTATCTATCTATCTATCTATCTATCTATCTATCTATCTCTCTGCAGAACGCACTCGTCGCGCTGGATGCCGCTGATGGTATGAGCTTTGGACTTAATCAATTCTCTCTCTCTCTCTGTTTGCTTTGTGTGTGTGTGTGTGTGTGTGTGTGTGTGTGTGTGTGTGTGTGTGTGTGTGTGTGTGTGTGTGTTTGGAGAGAGAAAGAGAGAGAAGAGAGGGAGAGAGAGAAAGATAGGTAGATCTCTCTAGATAGATCTATATCAATAGATCTCGCTTCCCCTTCCCAGGCGACCACGGCTTTACCGAGCAGGAGACCACCGACTTCTTCGGCGACTCTTCTCTGTACGCGCAGTGGAACACCAACGGGGACGACCACCTCAGCTTCGGCGAAGTGCACCACGCCATCACGCTGGACGGCATGTTCGACTGGTTCGACACCAACGGTAACTTCTTCATGATTGATGTCTACTTCATTTTTACGACTTTGCTTGCACGAGAACTATGTTTTTACGTAGTCAGAATGGGTATACAATTGGATGCACAATTGGATGTACAATTGCATATGTCATATCAAACTCATGTGACTTCTCCCCTAGCCCAAGAGCCATCCAAAATAACCATAGTATGTCCAAATATGATATAGCAAAACCTGTTCTGCTGTAGTACCAACAAAAGCCACCAGGGGGCCCAAATGTTTTTTGTGTAAGCCACATCTAGACCTACCCACCTACCATGTTTAATGAAAATGCATAGAAAGCTTCTTGAGTTATGCTGTTCACAAACAAACAAGCCAGCAAACAAACAAAAAGACAGGAACACACACGCACACACAAACGCTATGGAAGACATAACCTTCTTGGAGAAGGTAATAAATGTTTACATGTTATTTATGATGGGTCTTTTCTGCAGGAGACGGGTTCCTTGAAGGCACGGAGGCTGACAAGGTTGTGTACGTCTACGATCTCATGGTCGCTCAGGGAATCCACCACGGAAACTTCCGGAGTCATCATCATTTGGACGCCGACCAAGACGGTCAAGTTAGCCTTCTGGAGGCGATGAACGGCATTGATGTTGAGCAGGCCATTAACGCTTTGGACTCCAACGGTACCAAATCACTTTTATTTGCTTAGGCCTAGTAAAAAATGTTGTCTCCTGTTTCCCGAAAGACCCTAAAATGCCGACCCTAGCCGCCTTTTTTGTGGACCCTTGCAAGATTCATAATTTTTTGAGCTGTTCAACCTTTTCTAGCTCCATGATCTGACACCTGAGTGATAAAACGTTGCAATCAGATTTCCAACATTGACAATGACAATAGTCCTCATGCAAGTTTTACTCTTTTAAACTATAGTGAAGATTTTTTATCACTAGAGATTACCAGAGTCTAAAAAAATAATAAAAAAAGATAACACTAGTGATTTGAACCCAGAATCTTTAGAGTTTTAAACTAACAACCCCTTAACCACCAGCCAAGGGTCCAACAGTAGTATCTGGAAGGGATTTGAACCCATAACCGTAAGAGTTTTAAAGGCTTCCAATGCAGTTTATGGCTTGGAACCTCGATTTTTCAAAGTCAATACTCTAGTCACCTATCTACAAACCACACTATCCCAATGTACATTGACCCTCATAGAGCAAAAATGCCCTTGGGCTGATTTTTAAGGTACCACCCAAAAAATAAAGTACTCATCTTGGGACTTGTTTCTGCACTTTCAAAGCCCGAAGTATGAAATACTGACTCGTGTGCTAATGTAAAGCAGTATGTGTCAATATCATAAAGATGGCCTTATTCGTAATATTTCCAGTTCTGCTGCTCTGAAATCACATTGGATGCCTTTAAACTAACAGCCCCATAACCACCAGCCATCCTTGTTACTCCATGTGTAGGTGACGGGATGTTCACCCAGACACAGGCCCTGCAGTTTATGGACCATCACATGTTCGCCGTGCTCGACACCAACCATGACCATCAGCTGAGCTTCGACGAAATCAGAACCGGCCTGACCGTTCAAGATCTTTTCAACTTCTATGACCAAAACGGTACGTTCCAATGCCAACTGCATCTACTGGCCTTTTTTTATTGTTCACACACCTTTAACAGAGTACAACACAAAGTGGTAGCGCACTCAAGTATCTAAAACTTCTATCAACGCCAACGCAAATAATAAATTAGCAATAAAAAGAAACCAATGTGTGGAATGTACAGATGTTTAATAGTATGTTGTTTATGATTCTCTCTTAAAAGTTTATCTGTGTTGGTAGTTACATGTTTAAGGTAAAACCTTTTGGCCCAACAAAAAAAGTTCTCTCACCTAAAGCTTTCGACCAGTCACTCTGGTCTTCCTCAGTAGACTGACCCAGTGAGGCTTGTCACGTGGCTTCTTTGATATATTGTAATTAGCCTTTAAGCCCCTGTTACACTTGCATCAGTTGTCCAGGAACTTTGCTCGCCAGCATCTTCCGGCCACGGATTGGCACTGGGTTAAGAGCAGACTAAAAGCGGTCCTCGATTATAGCTCCTTTTCTGATCAAATCTAAGAAGAAGAAGACTTTCCTACTTCGAATTCAGATCTTTTAGGAAAATTCAGAGTTGGCTGCTGTAGCATGTTGTGTATTAATATGAGCAATGGTTACTCCGTCCCTCCCTGGCTACTAAAAGCGTCATAGACCTGTCAGCTAGCTATCATCAAATGTGCAGACAGTGGATTTGGTAATAAAACCAGTTAAATTGTTGCAAAACGTGAGTTGCAAAACAGCTGTAGTCACCTATTGCATTGTGTTCAAAAGAAAAAAAAAACTAATATTGCGTTTGTCCTTTTACTGTGCCTGGTGACAGATTACATGGTATCGTTGCGTTATTTTCTAAAATGCCACTCTTGTAACTTTTACCGTTTCCATCACTAGATGGATATGCTTTGTTATTTATGTGAGGAATGAGTTAACGTTAAGCCCTGTGAGTCGTACTGATTGTAAATTACTTATGTGCATTATATATTAATTATTTTAATCATTTTTACCCATCTGTAACTGACACACGAAATTTTAAGCCATGATACAATCGAAGTGCTTTTAAACAGGTAACTGATTTATTTTATATTATATCATAAATGAATGATAGTTTTAAAAAATGTGTAATGGAACCTGCAATTCAGCCGTTTCATTCATTCATTCATTCATTCATTCATTCATTCATTCATTCATTCATTCATTCATTCATTCATTCATTCATTCATTCATTCATTCATTCATTCATTCATTCATTCATTCACTAGATGACGGTTTCCTGACCGGTACAGAGGTGGACCAGATGCAGTACATCTGGGACTCCATCCACGGACACGGAAACAACCGAATGCATCACGAGTTGGACGCCAACGGTGACGGCCAAGTGACCCAACAGGAGGCTACTCAGGGCATCCATTTCAACCAGGCCCTCCATGCCATTGACAGCGACGGTACACAATCTTTTTTCTTTGCCACTCAATATTTGTTTTATATTCCAACATGTAATCACAAGACGTGTTGACGGCACACTCAAGTGTTTTTTAATTTACATTAATGCCGCCACCAACACAGGGGACAATACAATACTCATTTTCACCTGAGCGAAGTGGAAAAAGTCGTGTAAAGTGCCTTTCCCAAGGGCACAAGATCGGTGGCATGTCAGGACTCGAAACCGCTACCTCTTGGTTCTGAGTCGAGCACTGTCGCTACGCCACACGACCTCACCAGACTATGTTTTTCCTTCATTGTTAGGTGACGGAAGTCTGACCCAGACACAGGCTCTGCAGTTTCTGGACCATCATTACTTCAACAGCCTCGACACCAACCATGACCACGAACTCAGCATCGACGAAATCTCCGCCGGAATGACGCTTAACCAGCTTTTCAACATTCACGATCACGACAGTAAGTTTCAGCATCAATTGACTTTTAGGGCCTTGTCAGATCTGTAACATGTAACTGTGATGGCCAACACTCTCCAGCCAAGGCTGGTTCTGGGTAGTGTTTAAAAAAGATGCTACATAGTCTGCCACCGGGCACAGAAAAAGGACAGTGTCTCTTCTTTTTTGCCTTAAATTTTCAAAACAATGTAGGTGTAGGAGAAATATGCAGGTGAATACAGTTGCTTTTTACCAGTTTCTCAAAAATATTGTTGTGTTTTTTTTACCCCAAATCCACGTCCAACATTTGCTTGAAGCATTAAGGTTGGTGAGGTTTTCGGTAACATGGGAGCAACCATTACTAACGTACGTCGATGAAGGTTAGACATCCAGGTTATTCGATATGCCAAAAAGCAGTTACTCAAGCAGCTGGATATGATTTTGGAAACGGTCAGACGTTTCAGCTAGTATCCACTAGCTTTCGTCAGTGACTGAGAGACCAGAGGTGAAAAGTTGGTTTATAAGCAAAAATTACTCCGTTTCCAAAATCATACCCATTACTAATGTGTTTGAAATAATATGCTGCACCAGCCAACCCAACTCCTACAACCCAACTCCTAACCTCTCTAACATTTCTATCGCTAGATGACGGTGTCCTGACTGGTTCAGAGGCGGACGGGTTCCAGTTTCTGTGGAACGCGGTTCACGGTCACGGTCACAACCGCAGGCAGGCAACAGGCATCGACGCCGACGGAGACGGTCTCATCTCCCGGCCCGAGGTCCATAACGTCATGACTCTGCAGAACGCACTCGTCGCCCTGGACGCAGTTGACGGTACAGACTTTGAATTTTATTAATTCTCTCTCTCTCTCCCTCTCTCTCTCTCTCTCTGTCTCTCTATCTATCTATCTATCTATCTATCTATCTGCAGAACGCCCTCGTCGCGCTGGACGCAGCTGATGGTACAGACTCTGGAGTTTATAAAAAACCTCAGAGTAAAGAGACTCTTTTTACACAACCAAGTCTTTTATTCAGCCGACGTTTTGGTGACCGTCTGCATGCCACCTTCCTCAGGGCAATTCTGACCGGTTCACATGTTTTCACTGACTGGTTGGGAATGCATCTGTAGCAGCGACACCTGTGCTGCAATGCGATGTGAACCAGTCAGAATTGTCCTGAGAAAGGTGACAGACGGTCACCAAAACGCCGGCTGAATAAAAGACTTGGTTGTGTAAAAAGAGTCTCTTCACTTAGTGTTTTACAAACCTGATGAAAGTATTCACGAATGAGTTATTTTATGCGGTTTTGTGAGCACAGTTTCCAAGTGATGACTATTTTTCTTCTGACGCTTTCTCACTTGCCCTACTATACCCAGGCGACCACGGCTTTACCGAGCAGGAGACCACCGACTTCTTCGGCGACTCTACTCTGTACGCGCAGTGGAACACCAACGGGGACGACCACCTCAGCTTCGGCGAGGTGCACCACGCCATCACCCTGGACGGCATGTTCGACTGGTTCGACACCAACGGTAACCGTTATGCTATTGATATGTACAGTATGAAATTATTGCTTACACACCAAAAATGTATGTTATTGATTGGTTTGACTGTTCAACCCTCACTGCCATGGCAGCCCAACTAGCCAGGGCTTGCCTGGCTGACAAGAAGAAGAAGAAGAAGAAGAAGAAGGAAGGTCTCCCGTGCTCTTATGCAGAGCTAAAGGTGGTGCCCATCTCTATTTCCGTAGCCCTTGGGAGACACAGAGTTGTGCAAGACACTACAGTAGAGAGCTTGTCACACAGAAAAGCAAAGTACCAAGAAGAAAGATATTGAACCTATGGAATAGTGTAATAAATTGTAGAATTCATTTTTGAAATAATGATAAGAGGCCTGATGCTAAATGTTTTTATGTACTCATCCCAAAAGGGCAAGGAGGCACAATGAAGGTTTCTAAAGTTTACAATCATTATTACTTCTACAGGAGACGGGTTCCTTGAGGGCGCGGAGGCGGACAAGGTTGTGTACGTGTATGACCTCATGGTCGCTCAGGGAATCCACCACGGAAACTTCCGGAATCATCACGAGTTGGACGCCAACAACGACGCCCATATCTCCAAGCCGGAGGTTATGAACGCCTTCACTCTGGAGCAGGCCCTTGTCGCTTTGGACACAAACGGTACCAAAACTAGATATCTTATGCAACGTGGCTTTCTACCTTTCACCAATGAGATATTGAACCTATTTACTAGAGAAATTTCCACCAACGTGGATGAATTTCCGACCATTTCCAGAAAAAGAAATATCTGTAAGTCGTACAAACCTATTGAGCAAATACTGGCCATAAATTGCAATACAAAATTGAAAAACGATACTAATGCCACTGTCATAGGATGCCAAAAGGCAAAGAGGAAAATGTAAAGAAATGAAAATCAGTCTATTATTTGCCATTTCATACGTAATGTCATTTGTCCAACCTTCATGAGCATTTCATAGATTTCATAAGGCAATTTTTTCGTGGCCAAACCTTTTTTTCGCACCCTCACATCAGTTTTGGGGTTCCCAGAGGATGCCAACCATGGAATTAAATCAACATTGCCTTAAGTAACAAACTTATTTTTCCACTTCCCCACAGGTGACATGCAGTTTACCGTCGACGACGCCTTGCAGTTTATTGATCATCACTACTTCAACGTCCTCGACACCAACCATGATCACGTCATCGACTTCAACGAAATTCTCACCGGAACCACCTTGTCGGAACTGTTCGACTTCTATGATGAAAACAGTAAGTATGAAATGCATTTATCCCTATTGGTAAACCTCATGTATTTGTGTCCTTAGCATGAAAGTTCATCTCTGTTGGTACAAATCATTATGAAATAAAGACCGAACTTTAAATTCCAACACTAGATACTAGTACAAAATTTGGGTGTTGGAAGTTAAAGTTCAGTCTTTATTTCATAACCACCTTCCTTGTTTTTATTTTCTATCACTAGGTGATGGTTTCTTGTACGGTACGGAGGCAGACATCATGATCTACGTTTACAACGAGATCCAAAACTCCATCGTTGTAACTTCACCGCCCGCAACTGCAGATCCTAACACTGTTGCTCCGTAAGTATAGCCCTGGTCTTACTTTTGTAACTTATCTATTGTAATGCAATAGTTATAAGGTTTCAGATGTGGATCTCACAGGCAGTTGCCTTTTTATCCATTAAAAATGTATGTACTCTATGTAATTATGTACAACAAGACACTCCCACCCCTGTGCTTACCAAGTCCCACCAACTAGAACGCTCCACAGGCAAACATCGTTTTTCCCCCGGACAATCCGGGACTGGAATGATCTCACCTCTAAGGCAGTCCTCTCCCCCTCCCTAGAACTGTTTAAGGCCAACATCTAAATTATTGTTAGTCTGGTTACTGGTGTTCCTTCCCAGCATCGCACCATTTAAATAGCAACAGAATCTTCAACTTGTTGAAGGTGGTTGCTTCAACCTCAAGACCAAGACCAAGACCATGTATGTCTTACATCTCTGAATCCTAACATCGATACATCTGGATAGCCTCAGCATCTTTCCATTCACGGCGTAACGCCTTATGTAAAGGTCACAAGAGTCTTTTACCAACTTGGTGCTAGGCCCGGCATAAAGGGTATGATAAAAAAGCATGTTAAACATTTTAGATGAATGAATAATGTTCACTCTCCGTATACATTATTGAAACGAATTGGTAAATATTCTTTACTTCAAGTTGTCACAGATTGACAAGTTGTAACACACCAACGAAAGTAAATAAGTAGTTTCAATATTAATGTTTTTGTCAATATTTGCTTTCTTTAAGATTCCGTGTCATCCCGAGAGTCCTAGACACCAACAACGATGCCCACATCTCCAAGCCGGAGGTTCTGAACGCCTTTACTCTGGAACAGGCCCTCATCGCTTTGGACACCAACGGTACCAACACTTAACATCTCATGCAACATAATTTTTTATATCCGTATTATCTGGATTTATTATCTGGATACATGTTAGCAGGTCAATTTTTTAAACTTGTATTGACTGTATTTCATACCAGGATGAGAGCCAGTAACTGTATCTGTATCTGTACAGCTGGTATAACCACCTTTCGGTGTAACATACCAGCTTCGCAGGCATGCGACGCGGCGGCAGCTAGCTATATTAGAACGTACGATCTGTTACACCCATCTTTGCACATCTAACTGCAGAAGCTGTTTAATGCTTTCTAGTGACTTGGTGGCAACGAGTTCCACTCTACGGTAGTTCTTAAAAAACTAGTTTTAATACCCCAATTCTTGGTTAATAACTCCGATATTTAAAACAATAACATATCAGGTAACATAACATCTGTTCTCCCAACCAATCCAATATATTTCCACGTGGCCAATTTTAATGAACAATACTAAACCTGTTTTCCATCCCCCACCCCTCCCAGGAGACCAACAGTTTACCGTTGACGACGCCCTGCAGTTTATTGATCATCACTACTTCAACGTTCTTGACACCAACCATGACCACGTCATCGACTTCAACGAAATTCTCACCGGAACCACCTTGTCGGAACTGTTCGACTTCTATGATGAAAACAGTACGTATGAAAAGTATTTATCCAATTAGAAAATCTCATGTATTTGTATATGTATTTGCATTTTCCCATAGTTTCCAGCATGGCCATCGGAAAAGTCGGTAGCAGATGTCGCCAAGTTGTTTTTTAAACATCTTCTTTGTTTTTATGTTATCAAGAGGTGATGTTTTCCTGTAATTATCAATTTTAATAAACCTCATGTTGTGAGCACTGCATATCTATTTCTTTTATGCATTTCCCCACAGTTCTCTCGCATGTTCTTCGAAACACTCGCTAGCATATTATAAGCGCCGATATTTTTTTTTAAACACCTTCCTTGTTTGTGTTATCACTAGGTGACGGTTTCCTGTATGGTACGGAGGCTGACATCATGATCTACGTCTACAACGAGATCCAAAACTCCATCGTTGTAACTTCACCGCCCGCAACTGCAGATCCTAACACTGTTGCTCCGTAAGTACCATTCCACAGTGGAACTCCTTGCCCGGACCAGTAGTTATGGCTCCCAATGTTGAGTCGTTCCGGGCCGGGCTGGCGGCCTGCCCACCTTGACCTGGGCGACCTCCCCCCCTTCCCTAACATTATTTGGGGGTACTCACGATGAAGTATGGCCCTGGTTTTACCTGTCCGAATACTCAAATGAATATCTTAGGATGGTCTCATCAGTTCATAATTGTCAGTTCATCAGCTTATGCAAAGGTCTCATTAGTCTATTGCCAACTCGGTGCTAGGCCGGGCATAAAAGGTATAATAAAAGCATTTAAAAAACATTCTCAAATGTTTTAAAATGGATAATGGTCACTATTAGTGGATATTATTGAAATGAATTGGTAATTGTTGTTCCCCACAAATAGTCAGAGATTGACAAGTTGTAACACACTACTGAAAGGAAATAAGTGGTTTCAGTATTATCATAAAAGTCCATCTATGTTGGTAGTTACATGTTAAGAGTTCAAACTTTCGATCCAACACCAAAAAAAAAAAAAAAAAATCACTCACCTAGAGCTTTCGACCAGTCACTCTGGTCTTCTCAGTAGAATAACCCAGTGAGACTTGTCACGAGGCTTCTTAGAAGTGTGACGTCAACACTGGGTCAAAGGTATCTCGTAGACAATGTCGGCCCCCGTCGCGGTTCCGTGAAGGGTGATGGTTTCAATATTTATGTTTCTGTCCTCATTTTGTCTTTTGCAGATTCCGTGTCATCCCGAGGGTACTGGACACCAACAACGATGCCCATATCTCCAAGCCTGAGGTTCTGAACGCCTTTACCTTGGAACAGGCCCTTGTCGCTCTGGATACCAACGGTACCAACACTTAACATCTATCTTATACAACATAGGGGTTTAAAATAATCTTTTTACAATGCATATACAACATGAAAGATTACTTGGGTAAAGTCTAGGTCGGTCCTCTATCTCTTACTACAGCACTAAGGGGAAGGGTGCAAGGTAAGTAAGACAAATACAGTGGATCATCTGACGAAGGCCGACGTGTTCGACCGAAAAGTCTTTTTTTTTTCGTCTTGGAGCTAGGTTTAGATTCTCACTAATAGCATCTCCCCACTTCTCACTAGACATCTTATGAAGAACTTTATTGCATGACAATTGGACATGGTACAATGTATGGCAACAACTATTGACCAAAATACTAGAAAACTATAGAGTAAAACCTAATATAGAATAAAACCTGATAAATCTTAATTAGCCAAACAACAAGGGATAGCACAAGTCTGTCTTTGATAATCGAGTGGGGCTAATCATGAATTTCGATATTCTTTTCTAATAAAAAAGGAGTATTTTATACATTTTTGTAACATGTTTTTTTCTTACTTCAACATTCAATTCATCAGATTTAGATCATACAAAGTCTTTCTTTTCGTCATGGAGCTAAGCTTAGACTTTCTAACTAATAGCATCTCCATTGTGTTTTAATTGTGTTTCATTGTGTTTTAATTGTGTTGATCTCCAAAAACCACGTTATATCTGTAGTGTTGTTAACCACGTCGACAATATTGAACATTGTATATACATGTACATGTACTATAATATATACTTTCTTTATTGGTTTTACTGAATTTCATGATTGTCAACTTCGGCGCAATTCAGCTATTGCTGCAAGGCCCATTTGTTCCTTGTGTATCAATAAACCATTTACTACTATCTCCCCACTTCCTCACAGGTGACATGCAGTTCACCGTTGACGACGCCCTGCAGTTTATTGACCATCACTACTTCAACGTTCTTGACACCAACCATGACCACGTCATCGACTTCAACGAAATTCTCACCGGAACCACCTTGTCGGAACTGTTCGACTTCTACGATGAAAATAGTAAGTAAACGTTCACTGTACGAAACGTGTGCGCTTATCGCTAGCGGTAAATTTCACTTTTGTGAGCCCTGCATATATAACTTTATGTCCAGATAAGTCTGGTAGATGCCACTTTACTCACTTGCCCACTGTGACACTTGGTAGCAGACGTCGCCGACCTGTTTTTCAACACTTTTCTTGTTTTTATTTTCAATCATTTGGCGACGGTTCCCTGTATGGTACGGAGTTTCATACGTGCATAGTTTCTTGCATGCCAATTGGAACACTTGGTAGCAGATGTCGCCAAGCTGTTTTTCAACACCTTTCTTGTTTTATTTTCACAATCATTAGGTGACGGTTCCCTCTATGGTACGAAGTTTCATACGTGCATATTTTCTTGCATGCCCATTGGAACAATTGGTAGCAAATGTCGCCGAGCTGTTTTTCCAAAATCCTTCTTGTTTTTATTTTCACAATCATTAGGCGATGGTTTCTTGTATGGTACGGAGGCTGACATCATGATCTACATCTACAACGAGATCCAAAACTCCATCGTGCCAACAAATGCAGTGGTGACGGGAACTCCGGCCACTGGCACCGACTTCCCTAACACTGTATTTTTGTAAGTATCGCCCTCCTTCGATGCTTTGGTCACATTCCCAAACCGGGACCCGGTCGGGCAGCTTACGGGAACTAGCAGCCCGGCCGGGACCCGGTTAGGAAATGTAACCTTAGCATTGATATTAATGAAAAAGTTTTCTCCATTTATTGAGCTGTGGTAGCCAGGTGCAGGTGTATGTGTTAATACATGTCGTATTTCTTTACATATCTATGTCATAACATTTTGCAAGATAAGCGTGATAACTGGATCCAGATTAATGTATTAATATGAACAATGACTATTTTGTGACTCTTGTAATATGTCAAGTCTCCACCAGACTCCTTTGCAGGCTGAATAAATGGTGGAGAGATCGGCCTTAAAAATGTAACAGGCAATTGGGACCCTCTATAGCCAGATAACTCCCCTAGCCAGTTATACTTTTTTATACCAATTTCTACTATTTATTCAGCCTACAAAGGAGTCGGATGGAGACTAGAACATGTTTAAAGTTAAAACTTTTGGTCCAACACAAAATAGTTCTCTCACCTAGAGCTTTCGACCAGTCACTCTGGTCTTCCTCAGTGAGACTGACCCAGTGAAGCTTGTCACGTGACTAGAATATGTTCATGTTTTTACAGCTAAACTTGTGGTGACCAGACGACCTCATCATGCTGACTTCTTCTTATCTTCTGTACCAGCAGCAAAACTCACAGCTGGATTGACAACTTTTATTAAACACATCAATAAATAAAGGAAATACGTGGTTTCAATATGCACGTTTCTGTCATTGTTTCATATGGTCGCTATGTGTTTGTGTGGCAGTGCGCGTTTATCACTGAGTCTGAGAGCGTATGTCAGAGTACCTTAGAGCATTGATGCACAGGAAACGAGCTAGAAATTACATAATAATTTCAATTAGACAAAATCATACAAAAGCAGGGATTGACTATCAAATGCACCGCTGAATTAAACAGAAACACAGCGACACTGATACTTAAACTATCATCATATATGTGCTATATTAACTTATATCATCATATTGCTATTTTCAATTTTTTTTTTTATATCACACATCTAACACATTGTATTCACATATAACACACATATGATTCCTTCCCGAGTTTTTAGCCGAGTTGCCAACTTTGGCTAAAATGTGTAAAAACCGAAAGGGGCAAGCAGGTCACAACCGGGAATCGAACCCGGATTGTCCGCTTGGCGGTCACCAACGCTAACCACTACACTAAAAGGTCGCACGACCATTTAGTATGGTCAGTTAGCGGAGGATAAACCCCACTGTTACAAAATGGACTATCAACTCACCTTTTCGGAGAGAAATTAGGTTTGACCCCTTGACCGTGGCTTCCAATGTAAGTTTAGCGTCCAAAAATGACTCGGAAATTTCCCCCAAACTGCAAAACAGTAGTTGAGGATCTTACCTAAGCTCAAAACTTACCTCATTCTACCAAAAAATGTCCAGATCTCACACACTCTATGATTGATGAAAAATTGTAAAGCTGCCGTCTTCCCGCCATGCCATGGCGCAAGAATAAGTCAAAGGTCAAGGAATAGGTCAAAGGTTGAGTTACACAACTTTGGAGTGTTGCAGTGTTACCAAGTAGGTACCGGCTTGCTCTGTTATATTTCTGTCCTTTCCTCGGATTAAACAAGCAGCCTATAGGCATGTGAATGCATGAAAACCCCATTTACTTTATTTTGATGATATTGCATGAAAGAATACTGGGTGGTATTTGAATGACTCAATATTTGGGGGTGGGGGGCGTGGGCATTTAATATTTACATTCATTATATCTTATTTATATATACATTGCGTACAATATTTGTAGTGCAATGGATATTTTTCTGAAGAATAGTCTTTTTTAACAGGGCTGTTCATTGTTTAGTTGTAATAATTTTGGAATCTGTTGTTGTTCTAATGTGTAATCACTCACTCACTCACTCACTCTCTCCCATAGCTTAGTCAGCCGTCGGGGCAGCATGATGTTTGGCCAAGTTCTTCCACTGCTGGCGGTCCTCCGCCAGTCTGGCCATCTGGTTGGCTGTTACACCAGTCCACTCTTTTAAGTCTGTAATCCATGACCGACGGGGACGTCCCCGCGGCCGTGCACCTTCCACCTTACCCTGGAGAACTGTATGTGACAGTGTGCCTTTGGCCCTAGACAAATGTGTAATGCCTGTATAAATATTTTGCTAGACATTGTCTCTTGGTGCTGGTTTCCTTGACTCAGTTTAGCCGCGGCGACTGTTGCAGGGCTTCTCTTGCTTGCAGTCTTTTACATCAACAGCAATTCAGAAAAAGACTGCAAGCAAGAGAAGCCCTGCAACAGTCGCCGCAGCTAGATTCAATATAATTGAGAGTCTGTATTTGTTGCAGAATTGGCACAAAATATGTTGAGGATGAATGAGCTTTGTTTCTTTAGGGCCAGCTGTATTAAAAAAAAAAAACTGTTTCTACATATCTATAGCAACCTATATTATACAACTGCGTCCATTTAAAATGACAATAGTTTAGCCATTGTAACATTTTTTTTTCAATCAAGATTTTTTGTACATGTAAATTTGATTTTAATTCAGTGTTTTACACACTGCGAAAACAAGTTAAGACTTTAAGTAATCATGTATCTTGTACTTTAAATTGTTGTGTATGTATGTAGGATGGCGGGTGTACCAAAGGTGCATCTAAGGGGGGGTCTGGAGATCACACGTATCCTGAATGGCATGTGGCAGGTGTCGGGGGCGCATGGACCCATCGACCCTCACAGGGCAGGTGAGTTACAAACAAACAAACAAACAAACAAACAAACAAACAACTCTGTAACGGCAGGTGTCTGGGGCACACGGACCCATCGACCCGCACAGGGCAGGTGAGTTACAAACAAACAAACAAACAAACAAACAACTCTGTAACGGCATGTGGCAGGTGTCGGGGGCACACGGACCCATCAACCCTCACAGGGCAGGTAACTTACAAACAAACAAACAAACAAACAGCTCTGTAACGGCATGTGGCAGGTGTCGGGGGCACATGGACCCATCGACCCTCACAGGGCAGGTGAGTTACAAACAAACAAACAAACAAGCAGACAACTCTGTAACGGCATGTGGCAGGTGTCTGGGGCACACGGACCCATCGACCCTCACAGGGCAGGTGAGTTACAAACAAACAAACAAACAAACAAGCAAACAACTCTGTAATGGCATGTGGCAGGTGTCAGGGGCACACGGGCCCATCGACCCGCACAGGGCAGGTGAGTTATAAACAAACAAACAAACAACTCTATAACTGGATGTCTCCACCAGACTTATACCACAGGTTAAAAGCATTAAAATTCCGCCAAATATATAGAAAAAATAATTGGCCAGGGGAGTTCAGCCACCCTGCAGACTGACTCTCCTGGCTGATTTCTGGGACCCTTTTTTTTTGCTGAATTCTGCAACTGTACCCCTGTAGGAAGGCCTGGTGGAGACTTTAACTTCTTCTTCTTTGGCAGTTCAGTCTAGCAGACTATAACCGAATGTACAATTTAAATATAATGTCAGGACAGAGATTGCAATATAGTATAGAATCTGCCAGTAGAGACTGCGATCAGACTCCCTGTCGACAGATTGTGATCAGGATTTTTGGTGCATGAGGATACTCACATAAGAGACAATTTTTCAACCTCGATCCATGCTTGGTGACTTTTCATCTGAATGCATTGATGTGAAATTCTAGATTTTTAAACGAGAGACCACCTCAACACATTCTACCATCCTGATCACAATCAGCCGGGACTCGAGTTAAGAACTAAACTTAAACAGTCAGCGATTCTGCCAGATCACAATTACCAGCTTGGACAGTTTTATCCCTAGCATCATCAAGTTGTGTTGTGCCCCCCTCCCCCAGCTGATGCCATGCTGCACTACTATGACTCTGGTCTGACCAGCTTTGACCTGGCTGATATCTATGGCCCCTCTGAGGATATATATGGAGCTTTCATCAAAAAGGTACCAAAAAATCAGGGCAGAAACTGATGGCCTAAGAAAATGCACAGTTTTGGCAATGTTTAATACATGTACTTCTTGTTGCATGTTGAATAATTTTTATTTTCAACTGGTCTCACTAAGAAAAGAAGTGGTAAAGAAAAACTATCATACATGAGATGAGGTCAGTGAAAAGACAAGCAAAAACCTGCCCATTGAAATGATTTTGAACTGTAATTGCCAACATATTGCAATGTGTAGGGATTTGCAGTTCAAATTCATTTCATAACGACTTCTACCAACGCAGATGAACTTCCAAGACAAAAGCCAGCCCTGTTAAAAAAATTTTAGTAACCAACCATGAACACAACACTGAAATTCAGTTCCATCCCAAGTGTGCCACCAAGAGTGTTGGTCAGTCTTTCTGCCCTGAAATTTACTACATGTATTGTCTTTTCCGACTGTATTATCCTTTATCTCATAGTGAATGAGATGGTGAGTTATGTGGATGCGGGGTTAAAGACCTTTGACATGGCAGACCACTATGGACCTGCCGAAGATTTCTACGGCGCTTTTCTGAGGAAGGTAAGGCCACACCAATTCTGTTTGTTTATAAAATCAAATGAACTGGTAGCCTGGGTGCTTATTCTCTGTAGTTTTCTACAGTGGTAGCCAGCAACAATAGGGAGCAGGCTGTAACTACAGAGGAAGGCACCCAGTCTAATGAACTGGAACATCAACATGATGTTTTCCTTACAATTTTTACTTAGACTGCCATTGAAGGCAGTGCTAGAAGTGACAAAAATTGCTGTGGCCTTATCCTGTAACGGTACAGTTGTAGTTACTGTATTAAAGGTAGCATCTTAAGACAAATTATCACTCAGCTCTTGTATGATTACTGTAGTTGATAGTCAAACCATTAGTTTATTGCACAACAATTGTTATGACATAGTTTATCTTTTGTATAGCATTATGCATAGAGAACACATGTTAGAGAATAGTTAACCTTTATTGTTACATCATACATATACCCTGTACGTAAGATAACGTTATCCACACATGTATTTAGCTTTGTTAGATCTTTAGTTAAGTTGTATAAAAGACCATACAAAAGTCTCTGTACTTTTTTGTTGTGTCAATAAAGAATCTATATATTGACCTAGATAAATAGATAGATACAGAGTCAGGGCATGTAGCTACTTGTAGCTCTACTTGTCCCAGGTATACACTGTATGATTTATATAATATATATTAATCACTGTTTCGAATTCCTTCTATTCCTGTGTTTATTAGCTGAAAGCTGAGCGGGGTGCAGAAGCTCTGGGCAGAGTCCAGGGTCTCACCAAATGGGTGCCTCGCCCTGGACACATGGCCCGGAAGGTAAAAGGTTATGTTGTGTCAATATAACAGGGCTCGAAATACTGGGTTATACTCAGTCTGGTAACAGTTATGCAACGTACAACATCTGACAGATTGTTGTAACAATTATTAGGGACTATTCTTAATATGGCAAGAAGTACTTTGCTGAAGCACTAGAGGTGAATTGGCCATTTTATTCAGACTCTTACCTTTTTGACAATTTTTACCAAATTTTTTAAAAATCTAATCTTTGCTAACTTGTGTACAGGTGGTGGAAGAAAATATCGACCGGTCCATTAGGAGGATGGGGGTGGACAGGTTGGACTGTCTCCAGTTCCACTGGTGGGACTACTCTGACAAGCGTTACCTGGAGGCCCTGGGCCACATGGCAGACTTACAGGCTGAGGGCAAGATCGGTCAGTCATTTAACTTCACTTACTGCATCAAACAAATGGTGGCGTCGGGTGGTGTAGTGGTTAGAGCAATTGACTATGAACCGGGGAGACCCGGGTTCGATTCCGAGTCGTACCCGGTACATGTCTGAACATGAGCCCCGACGTTGTGCCCTTGGGAAAGGCACTTAACACGACTTTCCTTGCTCCACCCAGGTGTGAATGGGTACCTAACTTCGGTTGGGGAAAGCCGTATTGAGGTCACCTTGTGGCGCCGAATGGCAGCCGCACAGACCCTTGCGACAGTTCCACAAAAAATAATTGTGGCACAAATATGTGTATCATGTGTATTATTTGATTATTGTAATTGTTGTGATTTGTATTGATTATTATGTGATACCCTGCATCAATTCAGCCGTATAAAGGCTGCGACTGCACGGGTACTGTTTGGACAATAAAAACCATAGAATAAAGTATCAGTGCAACAGCTCAATTAGGAAGAGTGCTCAGTTTGTAACCAGGAGGTCATGAGTTCTAACCCTACACCTAAAGACTTCAGAAATGGTACACGCTTCTTTCTCTGCTAAACAGATGTTTCAGTATCAATGAGAAAGACAACACACAACACTCCTAGCAATACCAGTGGACTAACTGGTCCAGTCTTCTTTATGTAACTTGTAACCTTTAAATGAAGTACGGGTCTTGTTAAGTGCTCATCACTGAGCAAATAAAAAAGATAAAAGTAAAAGTCTATAGGATGTATATAGAAGTTTGCGCGGTCACTGATGGAGTCTACATTCAGAGACTGGCTCCCGAGGTCGAGAGGGGAAATATCTGGTCGAAACACTCGCAACAAGCAGAAACTGAACACACCTCTCTGTCGGACCAACAGACTGAAAAACTCTCCCATCCCATACCTTGTAAACCTTTTCAACAAGGAACAGTGAACTCTGAACTGTAAACAAACTTTCTGAATTTCGAATTTTCATATCTGATGTTTACCCTGCACCTATCTTGTTATCAATTTATGTTAAACTACGAGTTTTTAGTAGGTAATTAATCTTTTAATCTTTAAGAGATGCCAATTTGTTTTATATAGAAATTAAGAATTTACTTTTAAAACTGTAAATGCCCATTGTTTGTGTATTATACTATAAAACGAGCTCAATGGTGTGTAAATACTAACGCAATTCAGACTTTTCAAAGAAGATCAACTGTTGGTTAACCTTAATTTTCTTGTATCCATAGGTGAGCTTGCCCTGACCAATTTCGACACAGTCCGACTGGAGGAAATCATGAACAAAGGCATCCCAATTTCCTCCAATCAGGTAGCGACCTATTACTAACAGTAACAAGATTCAAGATTCAAGATATCTTTATTGAGCTATCGCAGTGAAAATATCACTGAATTGCAGTCAATTTGTTTAGTGTCAAGAGTTGTTTGATTTCGCGATGAACAGTATAAACAAAATTTACAAATGCCAGACATTATATTTAGACGGTTAGGGATGATTATTGTCCGTATTTGTTCAGTAATGAACACATGTATGGGATAGGGGAATTACTGTAACGGTTTGTTCTGACCCGTGGGCAGTTCAGTTTCTGGGAGTTTCTGGTTGCACGGCCAGAACAACGACTAATTAGGATGAACTTCTTTTATAAACTGTAACATATTTTGCAACATAGTTTTAGGATGTAGCAATAATTGTTGGAGACCTGTAACATTTGACAGTAGTGAGTAACTGTTACAGGATGTCAAATTAGAAAGTCCACATGAAAACGAATCAGAGAGGAACTTCTATTCTCAGTTCACAGAATTTCAAGAAGTGGATCTAGTCAGATCTGTCTTTATCTTGCTATTTTGTCACAATTTTCAGAAACCAACAAAATATTCTGATGTGGCCCAAATCAAAATACATTTCTTTCACTACATGTAGGTACAGTATTCCCTCATAGACAGGCGACCAGGACAGAAGATGGCGGAATTTTGTACGGCACATGGAATAAAGCTCCTCACATACGGAACCCTCGGTACCCACTGGAAATTCCTTTTATTTTTACTGACTTTCTTTTCCTCAGATTATTGTCACTCAACCAGATTGTAATAACCTTTAAACAGACATATAGCATACATTGTATGTGATACAGGGGTACCATACTATTTTGCATTGTTACTTGAGGATGAACAATAGTACACAGTGTTAGATAGAATTTTAGTATTTATCGTTAAAATGTAGTATGGTTAGCATTCTGTATTCCATGTCTTTCATGCCTGAGACTACATATGGTGTGTTTAGTCCATCTGGACAGGAATATGCAAATATAATAAAGATTCATATATTATATATTGTAAAACTAAGATTGCTGTACATAAATGAAGTAACAGTTTTAGGAGCCAAAGTTAAATAGCACTGTCCAAATTCCTAGTGCCTTACCAAACCCAAAAAGTGTTCAGACACAGAAAAGTACTAGACAGTAATATTCCCTCTCCATTCTTCCAGGAGGCGGCCTGCTCACAGAGAAATATCTTGGGGCCAAGGAACCCACGTCTCGTTGTGACCTTCCCACTGCGTCCTTGGGGAAGTACAAAAACATGGTGGACGCTGTGGGAGGATGGAACCTCCATCAAGAATTACTCAAGGTGAGAAGAACACCTGAGGTCTACCTTTGTATGTGTGTGTGTATGTGTGTGTCAGAGTGTGTGTGTCTTTGTGTGTGTGTGTGTGTGTGTGTGTGTCTGTGTGTGTGTACGTGTATGTGTGTGAGTGTGTGTATGTGTATGTGAGAGAGAGTGAGTGAGTGAATGTGTGTATTTTCACCAACATTTGCATCAGCTGTACACAACTTACTTTACATCTGTTCTTTTCCAGGTGCTGAAGACCATAGCAGATGAACATGGAGTCAGTGTTGCCAACGTAGCAACAAAATACATCCTGGACCAGCCAGCAGTTGGAGGTAAGAGATACATGTATGATGTATCGTCGGTTCAATGCATCCACATAGAGTCAGCCGGACACTTCGTTTCACTTGACACTGTAAGGATTTTGGACACTGAACAAGACTATTTCTTGTGAGAGAGGTGAAGGAGGCCATATACATCAGGGCCCATCACCCTTCATTGAACCGCGACGGGGGCTGACATCGTCTACCAGATACCTTTGACCCAGTGTTGATGTCACACTTCAAAGAAGCCATGTGACAAGCTTCACTGGGTCAGTCTACTGAGGAAGACCAGAGTGACTGGTCAAAAGCTCTAGGTGAGAGAACTTTTTTGTGTTGGACCAAAAGTTTTAATTCTAAATACGCTTAAACTAATTGTTCCCATCCCCATCAGGTGTGATAGTGGGGTGCAGACTGGGAGTGCCGGGTGCTGAGCACATCCAGGACAACCTTCGAACTTTCACCCTCGACCTCACACAGAATGACATTGACAGGATTCACGCTGTAGTCAGCAGGGGCAGGGACCTTATGGCAGTCATAGGGGACTGTGGAGATGAGTACAGGTAACTCGGAGATTGTGCCATGTTATGTTGGTTGGTTCGGTTTCTGTTGTTACAGTTTCAAGTCATTATCATTAAATGTTATTCATGAAGATTTACCACATTTGTGGAATGATGAGGTAATGTCAACATAATTCTGTCAGATAAGCCAAGATGGACACAAAAGAAATTAGGCCTGAATATCTTTGACACCTGGATATTGGAAGTGTGCATTAAGTGCATCTTAGGGATAAGTAGATAAGTAGATATAACAGCTGACACAAGGTAAATTTTTGTTTCAATTGACACTAGTTAAATTAAAGCCAAATATGATGCATGTCATGCAGTGGTTCAGTAGTTGGCAACCACTTACCTAGACCACGTTAGGCTAGAGGTTTTAGTCTAAGTTAGGTGTTTTGAACAGGTGTCAGTTATGAAAAAGCGCACAATGTGTACACAATTTGCAGTAGTGGAGAGTGCAATTTCAACCTACTCAAATGGTTGCTCGAAAGGGACATAATTTTAAAAGACAAAGTCAGAAATGTTCTGTGTTTGAGGAGAGCCTAGCACATTAAAGAATCCACCACACTTAAAAAATAAAGGCAGAGTAAGTGGTGTTTAATGAAATAAGTAGATCAAACTTTACAGTCTGGTCATACACAGGATATACTTACAGTACAAACCTGGTGTGTCAAGCCATCAGGAGGTTTACAAGCATGTGAGTGTTAACTATATGATTATGTAAAATACACAGTATGAGTGGAATAACCCTATAAAGTATTACTGTTTTACACAAAGATATGTAAGTAAGACAAGAAAACAATATAAAAGATAGAAGGAATTTATTTGTGCCGTGATAATCTGTCTGAAGTTGTCAATTGTTTGTTGATGACGAATCTGGAGTTAGAAAATAAACCCCTGGTCACCACAGGATACAACTGAAAATTAAAAGAAAGTAAGCATCATTATATTCGTACAGGCAATTTATTACTCCTAGTATTTAAAGTTAAAAAAAAAAACTTCTATATGTGATTCTACAGTCCTGTCCCATTATATAGTTGTTTTTTTTTTTTCAGGAGAATACACCAAGAATTATTTTTAGCAGGGTAACTTCCCCAATGCTTTTCAAAGAGGTCCCGCACATACAAGGTTTAACACACGCAAACACACAATACAATCATATGTACATTACCAAATATTTTAGCTAGTGTATCCATAATTCCTATCCATACCCATAGTCCTAACCTGTACCAGGTTGTAAGGATTGTTAACCGCAAATCTCCACAAGGTAACCTGGCATGGTGAAACTACTCACAGAAGACATAAAGAAGACATGTATACTTACTGTCAGCATCAGGCTGTCCTTAGGCAGCGTTCATGGCCTGAACCAGGTCATACACGTGCAGCATCGTTTCCGCTTCCAGGCCCTCAAGGAAACCGTCACCTGGAAACAATCAGCAGAACGTGAAAAAGGGTTAAGATGCAGGCAAAGCTCTTGCATGAAGATGGTTGGAAGACAATTGTCAAGTCGTAAGAAGACCTAGCAGATTATTGAGATCCTTGCAAGTGTATTGAAAAACCTCAGAGATGCCCGGAACATCGTTGAGATCCTTTGCAATGTCTTGGTAGACGTTGGACAAATTGTAAAATTGATGAGACTTTTGATTGTATCTTAAGTCATTCAAAGACCATTAAGACGCCGTTGTCATACCTAGGAGATCACTGAAAGGCCTTCAGTATCACTGTAAGGCCTTGGAAATCACTGAAAAGCCGTCGATATCACCGGAAGATCGTTAAAACATGCCAGTCAAATTTTGGATACTTCAAAGTGATCCTAGCCTGGGTGCCTGATAATCCCCAGTAGTATTAGCCCGCTAGCTTACAACTGGTAGCTAGCGACATTATAGAGCGGCCGAATACTACTGGGTATGGCACCCAGGCTAAAGTGATCTCCCTCAATGGTCAGAAATCCATCTGTAAAATCGCCCTCCTAGATTCTTACCGTTTTTGTCGTACTGGTTGAAGAGAGTGTCCAACCCGAGGTTGTGCATCTCCCCAAAGCTAAGCGTCTGGTCACCGTTATGGTCCAGTGTGTGGAAGAGAAGCTGGTCTCCCACGTAGTGGACGAACTCCTGCTCGTTCAAGTGGTTGTCACCTGCAAGGAATATAAGTAAGACGCTCGGTAATAAATGGGAACAAAATCAGGCCTGCACGCAAGTCTAGGGAAAGATGCAAGGGGGCACGCCAATGGGGCAAAACGTACACCGTTTCTTATTCAGTGATACTTTCCAAGCGTCCGTAGTCCAGTGGTTAGTGGCCCTGCCACTGGACTAACAGCTTGGTAGTTCGACTCCTGGCTGATGTCGCTCACCCGACATGCAAGCTGCTGGAAGGGGTCGCAGTCTCTAGGACGGGACGTTTAGCTGTGGTCAACTGTTCATTGTGCTTGTCGAAAAGAGCTAGGGGAGTTGCCCAGGTAGAATGAAGCCGTATGCACCGTACATAGCGTCTGTCTTCTCTGTTACGACCAGCGGGAGATTAGCTCTTCAGTGAGCTAAAACTAGACCTATTTTTTTTCAAGGAAGGCTACTCAGACAAGGTTAGGAGGTATCTACATTCAAGTGCCCGCCTCTGCTTGGGTAAATGTGGCCAAAATGGCGATACAGAATGATACAGATACAGATCTCCGGTGTTACTCCAATTGGCGGTTAAAAAGGTTATACAGGTACAGATAAAGACGACCATTACCGTCTTGATCCAAGGCGAGTAGCGCGTCGTGTATGTTCATGGCGAGTTCCACCTCCGGCAGGGACAGTTTTCCGTCTCCGTCCGCGTCCAGACCTCCGTGGACCAGGATGGGGTTGTTAACAATGGCGGTGTACACGTAGTAGATCCCGTCCGCTTCTGAACCAGTCAGATAGCCATCTCCTGTATGCATGCGAATATTTCAATAAGAAATTTTATTGCAAATACTTGCCCGAAGGCTAATTGCAGTTACAAACATCAGAAAAAAAAAAAGAAAATTCAGTGGTATGTGAGACTATATATCTACTTCTAGCATTATACTATATTCTACAACATACATGGTACTAGTTTTACTGGGTTTGACTTCTTCTTTTTAGGCAATGAAAGACGAATTTACCCACTAGTTCTATAATATATGGGTTCTTTGATTTTAGCTGTAAAATTCAATACAAGCTTTGTTCGTGCCTTTGTACATAAAATGTTTAAATCGCTTCCGAACCAGTCAGGTAGCCAACATTTCCTGTATGGCAGCATTTCAATACAAGCTTTGTTTCAGCCTTTGTTCATAATACTTTGATCACTTCCAAAACCAGTCGGGTACCCATCCCCTGTATGCCAACATTTCGCCAACATTTGCCAACGATACGCCTTTGTTTCAGCCTTTGTTCATAAAATGCTTAAATCGCCATCAGATAGCCATTAAAATGCTTGATCAGGCCTGCTGCTCGCTCTTCATTGAAAATTGGGATACATGGTTGAAGTTCTATCAACTCAATAGACATGTGTCAAAGTCGAAATTAAGTTCCATATTGTCACGGAATGTTATATCGGGGCCGTGATAACGTTCGATAGGGTTTATTCGGCCCGTGTAATAACTAGCCGTATAACTCAGGGTTATAACGGTTATAACACGCCATTGCAAAAGTTTCCCTGCGCTGCGGTCGAAAATTTGAATGTCGGGTTACAGCATACCACATGATTTGCTTCTACTGTTTTTCAAACGTGCGCTTTAAAAATGGCAATAGTAAAACGTACCATCCAAATCGTAGAAATCGAAGATGCGGTCCAGCGAGGTGCCGAATGTGACCTCGTCGAATGACAGCAGGCCGTCCATGTTGGTGTCCAGCTGGTCAGAAGTTGCCTGGGTGACATCGCCAAATATGGGCATCAGCTCCTGTACGGTGAAGAAACCGTCCCCTGCATGGACAAAACGAGTAGGATTTATGGTACCGGTAATCTTCAAGCAGATCCCTTTTAGAGGCAAAAAGACAGTATCAAATTGGCCAGGCAATATCCATTAGCCAGAGAAGCTCGCCGGCCGTTGGTGGGGGTAGCGACAAAAAAAAGCCATATATAAAATTAAAAAAGCTAACTATCATTCCCCCACAACCTCTACTCGGAGAGTAGATTTATAGATACTTTCACAAGGGAACTATAAGAAGTTATCTAAGTGATGGGTCTATTACGTTGTATCCAGAACCGTGCCTATATCTAGTACCACGCCATGGGTTTGGGTTAGGATCAGGCTATGTTCTGGATAGTCTCCGCGTGTCCAAAAACGTAGATTTGCCTCAGGCACGGTTCTGGATACGCCAGGACTATCCATGGCCAGAGCTTTATGCGCTATGCTTGTGTATGGGATTTATGCATGCTTAAGCGTGCTTTACGTGTTATGCTTGCATGTGTTATACCTGTATATCGACTCTATTGTACATTTACGCATATTTGTTACGCCTGGACCTTCATGCCAGCTTTATAAATGTGTTGTGCTTGTATATCGGCTTTACGGTCCATGCTTTATGTATTATGCCTGGACCCTTATGTCAGTTTTATGTGTTGTGCTCGTACATTGGCTTTACGGTCCTTTAAGCATATATATGGGATTTGATACATTGTGTGTTCGTACCGTCTGCGTCCATGGCAATCATTTATGGTACCCTTGCGCAAGCTATACGTGTTATTCTTGTATCACAGCTTCACGCATGCTTGTATGTCAGATTTGATGCAGCGTGTGCTCGTACTAGCCTTTAGCAGGATTCGGGAGACGGCTGGAAAGAGTAGAAATCGGTTAAGTAGAGAGATACAGCAACATGCCGAGAGAGTTGGTCCGCTAGAGAGAACATTTTAGCCGCAAACTGTTCTCTCTAGCAGACCATCCCCCTAGGCTTGACATCTCTCTATTTGACCGATTTCTACTCTTTCCAGCCGTCTCCTGAAGCCTGGTAGAGGCTATGTTCGTACCGTCTGCGTCCATAGCGATCATGGACTCTTCTAGCGTCATGGCGCCCAGAACCTCGAGCTTGGAGAGCTTGCCGTCTCCGTTGGCGTCGAGAGCGTTGGTGATGGCAGCGTCGGGGTTCTGGATGGTGTTGTAGATGTAGTTCATCTGGTACGATTCACTGGTGTCCAGGACTCCGTCACCTGCACACATTGAATATGCATATGCATGGCTCCGACTCTAAGTTTACGTTTGTACTACTATGTATGCAGTAAATCCCTTAAGATTGAAGCTGGTGTGTTACACGGAGGGTTAGTTATACCGACTCTATAGATACAGAGGATTCCTTCATGAGAATATGTCGCCAGGGATAGACTGCCAAGTTGCCGGTGTCCGTTACAAATGGGTAGCATTGCTAACAGAGAGAGACAATACCTTCAAGCCTTCAACTCAATCAAGTACCAGAGTTTTCAAACAGGATTGAGGTACATTTTCCTAGAACTATCGTAGAGTGGACTTCGCTGCCACCAAGTACAGTTGGGGCATCATCACTACTAGATAGCTTCAAACAGCTCGTGGCTAGATGTGCCACAGAAGGTCTCAGATGCTCTTATGCCGAGCGTAGGGTGGTGCCCATCTCCATTTCCGTATGTAGCCCTTGGGCGACACACAGTTGTGCAAGGCACTACAGCAGGGGGCTAGTCTGCTGGTAGTGCTGTGTGTTTGACCTTCCCACACTCTTTCTCATATGTGCTGAGTGCTAAGCAGAGAAAGAAGTGTGTGCCATTTTTAAAGTCTTTGGTATGACCCGGCCGGGGTTTGAACTCACGACCTCCCGGTTACAAAGCGTGCACTCTACCAATTGAGCTATTGCACCGGTATAGATGTGCCACGGAATTCAGAAACAAAAACGTACCGTTCTTGTCGAAGAGGTCGAAAAACTCGCTGAGCGTGAGCCCATGTTGCACCTCGCCGAAGCTGAGATGGTCGTCGCCGTTGCTGTTCAGCAGGTAGAAGATCGACCCGTCCCCGAAGAGTTCGACGATCTGCGGCAGGTACAGGAAATGGTCGCCTGCAAGAACAACACGAGTAAACAAAAAGCTGCCCAACATCTGTATAAAATGCAGCGTATGGTGACTTCTGCAAAGGCGCGGTCACATTTCCCAACCCGGGGCCCGGCCAGGCAGTCGTATGGAACGAAAATTATGATATAAGACAGCAAAACACACAAAAAGTCTTAGAAAATTAACCTTGAGCACTATTTGTGTATACTCTTAATACAAATTGTTTATTTTTCGTTCACGCAAACAACCCGGCTGGGCCCCGGCTTGGAAATGTGACTGTGCCCTAACGTAAACCTAAGTATCAATTCTGGGATAAGGCAACAAACTTCTATTCTTCTATACAGTCTCTTGTGGAATTTATAACACGATCACCAATGAGCGATTATTAATTTTGCATCGTAATCATATTAGTTAGGGTCCAGTCACACCATCGAAAATTTGAGAGAATGCTTGGGATAGTCCTACATAAGTCGTACAAACTTCAGCTGTGTTGTTAAAGCAAATGCTGTTTTATAGATTCTCGTCGGTGGTTGGTAATCTGTCACTGCCTGCTTGAGCACGAAATTCTACAGTATCAAAATATTAAAATGACTTACACTAAATGTGACAGCTAGCACGAATAGTGCCCCCTCCCACATGAATTGTCTACATGTGAAATGTACATTGAAGTTAGCCTCTATCAGGCTTCGGGAGGCGGTCGGAAAGAGTAGAAATCGGCCAAATAGAGAGATAACATGCCAAGGGAGTTGATCTGCTGGGAGAGAACAGTTTGCCGCACCCGGGTAGAGGCTATTGCACTCTGTTCTCTCCCAGCCGACCAAACTCCCCCGGCATGTTATCTCTCTATTTGTCCGATTTCTACTCTTTTCAGCCGCCTCCCGAGGCCTGGTAGAGGCTATATTGAAGTACCGTCTATGTCCAAGGCTACAAGAGCATCATGCAGTGTCATGACACTCGTCACTTCCGGTTTGGAGATCAGTCCGTCGCCATTAGCATCCAGTATCCTGGTCTGCCTTCTCATTGGTGCAGCCGTTGCCACGGCAACGAAGAACAGGAGGATGGGTGTCATGATTGGTCGGGTGGTGTCAAATGCTGTAACAAGTCACAAAATTACATTGGAGAATGATTGATTTTATCTTATTGTTGAAAATTTGGGCAATTGTGCACTTTTTGCAATTTGGAGGCTCGACTACTTTCTCTCTGTCTATCGGACCGTCTCTGTCACTCTCTTTTTTTCTGTAGCCATCAGAACTCAAAAGTGATAAAGCTGAACCTCGGCGATCCGGATTTGCAGCTCATGAGGTGGCTTCTTCGATATGACAGTAATATTAATTGCCCAAGGCTATTGATGTGGCCATGAGGCTATTGATATTGCGGACAAATTGGAAAGGGTATCGAAATACAGCACAAAAAAAGCGTTTAGTATATACGTTACAGTATGGTAAGGAGGCAGAACAATTCTTAAGGAAGCTAACATAAGGTACAAGTCAACTTACCAGTCTGGTCTAGTCTACTCGAGTAACTGTTACAGGCTCGGAGAAAGTTGTTTGAACTGAAGATAAAAGGCAAACGTACGTGTTCCTAGTGTACACATTGTGTGGGAAGGACAACAGCTTTTATTGTAGATATACTCAGTTCTGTCAATACAATGTCTGCGTAACGCCCTAATTTCGTGCGCACGTCATTGATGCTATCAGTCTTATCATACCCTTATTGAGGTAGCACACACTAGATGCAATAGCTCAATTGGTAGAGTGATCGCTTTGTAACCGGGAGGTCGTGAGTTCAAACCCCGGCCGGGTCATACCAAAGACTTTAAAAATGGTACACACTTCTTTCTCTACTCAGCACTCAGCACATATGAGAAAGGGTGTGGGAAGGTCAAACACACAGCACTACCAGCGGACCAGCCCCCTGCTGTAGTGCATTGCACAACTGTGTGTCGCCCAAGGGCTACAGAAATGGACATGGGCACCACCCTACGCTCTGCATAAGGGCACGGGAGACACAATAGATTGCTTGAATGAGGGCCTGCAAGGGGGGGGGTAGTGATTACGAATTACGCAAAATTTTCGCCGCCTATTACGAATTACGTTAAAGTCTCAGAGCTTATTACGACTTATTACGATTTGCGGCTAATGTCCAATTGCGAATTACGGTGATTTTTGCGGAGGCTGCCTACGAATTACGAAGTCTAAAACGGCCTGATTACGCCTTACGAAAAAGGGCTTGCAGGCCCTCTTGAATGACGTCTACTAGAAACTCAAAAGCTGTCGCAAGAGTGTTCAAAGAATTGGCATATTTTGAGGTGGTACGTTTGTCCATATACATTCATCCTCGTAAAACATTTTCTTGAAAAAAATGTTTTTCTCATGTCTTGTGGTAGGTCTGGTAAAATGCTGTTAATTCTTAATTTCCGTGACACAGTAGGTGCTATATGAAATACACAGTCTAAAGGTCTTCCTGTGATCACTTTGGGCAATTTGTGGACATTCCTATAAGTCTCTTTTTCACCTACCCTGGGTGCCAGATAGTCTCCACCAGACTCCTTTGCAGGCTGGATAAATAGTAGAAATCTGTTAGGGGGGAGTTGGCCGGCCATAGAGAGTCCAGCTTGCCTGCACAGACAAGGCCGGGTTGGTCGGCCCCCGGGCTCAACTCCCTCGTAGCGTCATTTAGATTGCGGTCGAAGGGCTGCCGAAGGAAAACGGCTAACGGCCGATACTAGCCTGGTACCCAGGGTCTTCTTCACCTTTCTTTATGATTCCTAATATTTTGATGAGGATGCCTTTATCAAAATAACCCTGTAGCCTATCCATGTGGCACAGCCTAATACATTTTCTTAAAATGGTCACCTTTTTTATATGCCGCCAAGGCCGTTCTGTGTGTACATGGGCAACTCAGCGCCCGGTGTTATGATTAGAATGTTTATAGACTGGTGATGCAATCACACTAAATAAGCACTTACTCAGACCATTACCTAACACTACAGATAGCAATACCGGCCTAGCCCAGTGTTAAACTAACAGTACAAATACCAATGGACTAAATTACACCACTCAACTATCGTAGTAGAGACAACAAGAAAGAGAAGGAAAAAAAATTCTGAAAACATGAAATGTTCAAAAAAACTTTATTCAATTCGTGCTTAGCAAGTTTTATTTTGCCTCTACTTTTCTATTTTAGCCTCTACTTGTTGCATTGTTGCTACTGCAGAAGCTGCCATCAGGAAACAGTCAGTTGTCAGGTTGGTGAGCTACAGCTGGAATGAAAATAGATACAAAGATATTTCAGAAAGTCATGAAATAACCACCTGTATTGTGCAGGAAGGATTGCTGACAAGAATACAGTCAACTTTCAGTCTGACAAAAATGTTCTTTCTACTAATTTAATTTTCATGTCTCTTGTCTTTTCCATTGTCATTTTTCATGGTAGTGTTGGAATTGGAATTGGAATGTTGCCTTTTATACCTTTCTGTCCCTCAAAAAGTTACATTACGCTCAGATATGCAAACGACAACAGCCGTGTCTGAGACAGAAAAGCACAGAGCTTCCATGACCCGTAGTCTGTTTCAGTTGTAGTCACTGTATCAGGAATACTAGTATCTCAGTATCCTTACTTTGATCTACCAATCTGGTTAACGGGCGAAGAGAGTAATACTTACGATTGATGGCAGTTAGGTCGTGGTTACTGGTCGGCCGCCATGACCATGTCATAGATGTACGTTATCTTGTCCGCTTCAGTGCCGTCCAAGAACCCGTCACCTGGAAACAGCCAAGCAACACAACGTGAAAATATTGTTGAAATCGTGATCTAGTGACTAGTCAGGCTATAAAGCTAGTGGCCTGGTCAGTGGAAGGGCTGCTAGAAGCGTGATGTAGCCAGGCTAGGGGCCTGACCCACCAGTGGAAGGGCTGCTAGAAGCGTGGTGTAGTCAGGCTAGGGGACTGAACAGTGGAAGGGCTGCTAGAAGCGTCATGTAGTCAGACTAGGGGCCTGACCAGTGGAAGGGCTACTAGAAGCGTGATGTAGCCAGGCTAGGGGCCTGACCAGTGGAAGGGCTGCTAGAAGTGTGATGTAGTCAGGCTAGGGCCCTGACCAGTGAAAGGGCTGCTAAAAGTGTGATGTAGTCAGGCTAGGGGCCTGACTAGTGGAAGGGCTGCTAGAAGTGTGATGTAGTCAGGCTAGGGGCCTGACCAGTGGAAGGGCTACTAGAAGTGTGCACGTGATGTAGTCAGGCTAGGGGCCTGACCTGTGGAAGGGCTGCTAGAAGCGTCATGTAGTCAGGCTAAGCTAGGGGCCTGACCTGCATAAGCAATAGCAGTACATACACACACATGGTACAAATCCTACCGTTGGTGGGGTCGTGTGGCGTAGCGGCAGAGACTCGGAACCAAGAGGTCCCGGGTTCGAGTCCTGACATGCCACCGCCGGGTTCGAGTCCTGACATGCCACTGCCCTTGGGAAAGGCACTTTACACGACTTTCCTCACTTAACTAAGTTAAAAATTAGTATTGTCTTGTTCCGTATTTGTCCTCTATCTGCGTTGGTGGCGGCATAAAATAAGTTGATATAACTTGAGTTTGCCGTCACCATGTCTACTCATGAAATGTTGGAATAGAAAAATATCCTACCGTTCGTGTCCTGGTAGTTGAAGAGGGTGTCCAAGCCGAGGTTGTGCATCTCTCCGAAGCTCAGGGTCCCGTCACTGTTGTGGTCCAAGATGTTGAACAGCAGCTGGTCTCCCACGTACATGACGAACTCCTGCTCATTCAAGTGGTTGTCACCTGCACGGACAAGATGAAGAAGACGTTTGTTTGGCGTAGCGGCAGAGTGGTCGACTCGGAACCAAGAGGTCCCGGATTCGAGGCCTGACATGCCATCGATCTTTTGCCCTTGGGAAAGGCACTTTACACACACATGACGTTTTCAAAATCATATCCAGTTGCTTGAGTAACTGTTTTTTGGCGTATCGTATTACCTGGATGTCTAACCTTCATCGACGCACTTTACACGATTTTCCTCACTTGGCTTAGGTGAAAATGAGTATTGTATTGTCCCGTGTTGGTGGCGGCATTAATATAAGTTGAAAAACTTGAGTGTGCCGTCACCACGTCTGGTGATTAGATGTTGGAATATATATTTAAAAAAAAAGACGTTTGATGAGATCACGTTAAGAGAGGCTTGCCTGCATTTCCAGTCAAAGCTGCTAGGGGGTCCAAAACACGTAATGCGCCGTTTTACTGTTCAGTCATCATCAAATACAGATTTTATCGATTTTACTGTAGTAATGCAGTTTTATGGTTAGCGTTGTTGATGTTGAATTAGAATCGGAAGGTTCTGAGGAAAGGCAAATGGCACTTGGAAAAGGAACTTTTTGCTCACTCGACTCAAGGGAAAATAGAACCTATAGCTAGCTTCGATTAGGGGCGTGGACTTAATGCTGGAAGTCCCATGTACAGGACGTCCCATGTTAGAGGACAGCCACACTTCAAGCATTACACTTATCAAAAGGTGAGGCCCATTCCGGTGTGAGTTGATCAAGTCTTACAGTTCGGCGTTACCTACTATTATAAAGGTGTTGCGCCCATAGACGGTTTATCGGTTATGCGAACAAAAAACAAACAATACGTTGATGAAGGATAGACATCAAGGTATACAATACTTTTCAAACTCTACTACTGGATGAATTATTGAGATAATTTCACTGGATGTGGACAGTACAGTACTGTAACCCGATACATTTTGAGTGGTTCCCATGAGCCTTGTTTTTGTGGTGAATCATGAAGTATAGGAAAATACATTAAAGAATGTTTCGATCTTAGAGAACACATGTTAGAGAATAGTTAACCTTTATTGTTACATCATACATATATCATACATATATTCTGTACGTAAGATGACGTTATCCACACATGTATTTAGCTTTGTTAGATCTTTAGTTAAGTTGTAGAAGACCATACAAAAGTCTCTGTACTTTTTTGTCAATAAAGAATTCTATAGTAAATAAAAAGAATGTCACCCGAAACGTCGGGAAATTACGTCCAGCAGTATAGTTTGAATTTCCTATGAAAAACAAACAATAGGAACAGTACCGTCTTGGTCTGCGGCCACCAGAGCCTGGTGCATGGTCATGACGAGTTCCACTTCAGCCAGGCTGATCTTGCCGTCGCCGTCAGCGTCCAGACCCCCGTGGACTAGATCGGGGTTGGTCTTGATCGCGTTGTACACATAAAGAACCCCGTCGACTTCAGACGTATTAAGGCTGAGGTAGCCATCCCCTGAAACCAAACCAAACCAAATAACATGGATACAAAACGTAAGATTCCAAAAGTAAATCTGCCAAATTTGTAATTGTTTATACTCATGTATTTATTTTATATCTTTGGTAAGTTTTGTTTGAGTATGTTAATCTGTTCCATATGCCTCTGGTAGCTTTATTCATGCATCATCTATTTTGTATTCACTTCTGTCTAGTGCCTAGTCATCCCATACGGGCACAAGACATGTGAATCAAGCTTCATCCATTAAGTAGGACACATGTACATTTGCTGTACGCCACAACCTTATCTGACATAGTTTTGTTTCAATTTCTATCAATAACAAAGGTTTTCGAAAAAAGTGATACTTAAAACAGTGTTTTAGCATCATGCACCATTACCTGATACTACAACTTGTGGCTTTGTGGCAAAATCACTTACGAAATCGTTAGTCTCTACCAGACTAACTATATATATACGCTGGCTGTATATAGGAGAATATTTGCTAGGGGAGTTTGGCCGCCTTGGGGTTTGACTGGCCGCGCAGAGGGAAAGAAACTACCTCCCCGCGGCCGGACTCCCTCGGCCCATTTTATTCTCTTCTTTGCCGAATTCTACGATCCCTATTCTCGTAGAAAGGCCTGGTGGAGGCTACGAAAACGTACCGTCTACGTCGAAGATGTCGAAGATGGTGTCCAGTGAAGTTCCGCCCTTCACCTCGTCATAGGACAGCTGGCCGTCCATATCGGTGTCCAGGGAGTCCAAAAGAGCCTGGGAATCGTTACCATAAACCGGAAACATCTCCTGCGCGGTCAGAAAGCCGTCTCCTGTGTGAAAAAAACTCGGATTTAATGAAATGAAATGAAATGAAATACCTTTATTGTACATTCATGTCACGGCGGGTGAGGTACAGGTCAAGACTTAACAGACACATAACAAACGTGTGTAGAAAGCATACACAAGGAACATACAAGGGGCACTATACTAGGCTAATACAAAGTGTTCAACTTTTTCTCGCTTTTTTGTACAATGGAAAATGTGGAAACAGATCATGTTTGTGATACAGGGTTTGTCTAGAGGAATCAAAAATATAAATCTATCATTTGCACTTAGGTGTTCAAAGTATGGGAACTTCTCTTTGATATGATTAAAAAGAGCATATCTTTCATTAGCATATAAAGTACAGTCTAAAATAAAGTTTTGTTCATCTTCTATTCTATTCATGTTACAGTAATGACAGAGTCTATTCTGGAGAGGAATGCGTTTAATAAGCGATTCCTACATCGGACGTGGATCGATAACGAATTCCAACCATAGTTCTCCCATTGCTTATGCCATTGGTCGATTGGATGACCAAGCATGTGCGACGATAGGCCATTATACTGAATATTCAGATACAGATAGAGAAGCTGGTGTGTTACCCCGAAGGTTGGTTATACCGGTAGTATACAGATACAGAAGCTGGTTTGTTATGCCGAAGGGTGTGTTGGGTATGGTGTGTTACACCGGCTATACAGATACAGAAGCTGGTTTGCTATCCCGAAGGTTGGTTATACCGGCTATACAGATACAGAAGCTGGTGTGTTATGCCGAAGGTTGGTTATACCGGCTATACAGATACAGAAGCTGGTTTGCTATCCCGAAGGTTGGTTATACCGGCTATACAGATACAGAAGCTGGTGTGTTATGCCGAAGGGTGGTTATACCGGCTATACAGCTGGTGTGTTACACCGAAAGGCGGCTATACAGAGAGAAATACAACTAGGCATACGGTAGCGGGGTTCGTACCGTTCATGTCTATGGCGACGATGGCTTCATCCAGTGTGAAGGCGCCCAGAACCTCGAGCTTGGAGAGCTTGCCGTCTCCGTTGGCGTCGAGAGCGTTAGTGATGGCAGCGTCGGGGTTCTGGATGGTGTTGTAGATGTAGTTCATCTGGTACGATTCTGTGTTGTCCAGGACTCCGTCACCTGCAAAATGGAACAGGATGAAATACTCTGAACAAAAGATGCGCCAAAAAGCAGTTACTCAAGCAACTGGATATGATTTTAGAAACGGTCAGACGTTTCAGCTAGCATCCACTAGCTTTCGTCAGTGACTGAGAGACCAGAGGAGAAATGCAGGTTTATAAGCACAAACTATTGATGTCCTAAACCGAGCCACTTGCTTATGTTTTTCACATCTAGTAAGTAAACAGAAAACGTACCGTTCTTGTCGAAGAGGTCGAAGAACTCGCCCAGGTTGAGCCCGTGCTGGAACTCGCCGATGGTGAGATGGTCGTCGCCGTTGTTGTTCAGCTGGTAAAAGATGTCTCCGCTACCGAAGAGTTCGACGATCTGCGGCAGGTAGAGGAACCCGTCGTCTGTAAAAACAAATTGGCAAAGACTAAAGACGGCTCCGTGAATAGTTTCATCAGGTTGGTAAGACACTGAGTAAAGAGACTATTTTTACACAACCAAGTCTTTTACTACTCAGCCGACGTTTCTGTGACCGTCTGTCACCTTCCTCAGGGCAGTTCTGACTGGTTCACATTGCATTGCAGCACAGGTGTCGCTGCTACAGTTGAGTATGTTACCAAGTCCTGAAATATATATTGAGGTACCATCAATGTCCAAGGCGACCAGAGCGTCGTGCAGTGTCATCGCGTTCATGACCTCCTGCTTGGAGATCAGTCCGTCGCCATCTGCATCCAGCATCATAGTCTGCCTCCTCATTGGAGAAGCAGTTGCCAGGGCAACGAAGAACAGGAGGAAGGGAGTCATGGTTGGGTTGGTGGGTGGGTGGTGGTTTGATGTCAGTAGCTGAAAACAGTTACATGGCGGCATTTTTTGTAAAATTGAAACAAGACAGTTCTGAAGATTTTGAATAACAAACACTATTATATTGTGACATAGACTTAGATTTAGACTAAAGGATTGCCCTGTCAACCGACAAACTATGAAATACGACACATATTAAAATTTTATGGTAAAATACAAAGAAAGTTAGGATAAGGAACAAGTCACTTACCTGTCTGTCTTCTCGAGTGGGAAATTAAGTTGTTCTGACTTATGCAATATGTGTTCTTTTATACGGTTTGTCGTATTACTCTGTGTACAGTTTTCTCACATTTCTGAGCCTATTTTTAGTCTATATCTGATGGCGCTGAACAGTTTGTTTCCAGCACTTGAGCCTATTTTTAATCCGTCTCTGTTTTCACAAGATAATTTGCAGGATATTCTTGGGTCTATACCCAATACAATAAACATACATGTATACATTCAACCTGTCAAAGGGCGTACTGTGTTTACTGTGACAGGGCGAGGCGATATAATTATAACTTCATGTAAACAACATAGTTACGTCAAGATACTATTTATGTAAAGGTACTAGTTTACACAACTGGTGTGTCATCGCATGACGTCAGAGCTTCGTCTACACATGACGTCAAAGCTACGTGACTTCATCTTCGATAGTAGTTTGAAAAATCAAAATCAGACCTGTAAAAGTGCTTGTGGTAGATACCAGTTACACATATAAGTTCCACATTGTAATAGCATTATATTAAGAGATTCTTTATTGACTCAAAAAAAAACGAACAGGGACATTTGTATGGTCTTCTACTGTAACAGATAAAGATGTAACTAAGCTAAATAATAACGTCATCCTACGTACAGAATATCTGTCATAACCACGACAATGAGTTAAATATTAAGTTCCAAATCGTAATTGCATCAACTAATTTTATATCTATATATCAATGGTTTATTTGCATTGAAAACACAACAACACTGCCCCTAAATGGCAGTCAGAGGCTGAATTGACATCAGGACATCACATGAACAGTATAAAACGCCATACTTAACAATTTAAAATAGTAATAAACCATTACATAAAATGTATATAAAATATTGTCAGCAAACGTTTCAAGTGCAAATATCATTGCAGATAACAATACAGACGGACAATGGTAAGGCCATGTTGATTTGATTATATGGATGACATCCTCTGGGAACCCCAAAACTGATGCGCGCGTGCGAATAAAAAAAAAAGTTTTGCAAAAAAAAGTTGCTTTCACTATGAAATCTACGTGGTCATGAAGGTTGAACAAATGGCACAGAATATGTTATGGTGAATAATCTACTCTTCGAATTCATTTCTTTACATTTTTGTCTTTTTTCCTTTGATTTTGGCATTCTACGACATTGGTATCGTTTCTAAATGTTTTCTTTGCAACTTATGGTATATTTTTGCTCATTTAGCAACTGTTTTGCACGATTTACACTATGGTTGAAAACTTTTTTTTTTTTTGGAAACGGCCGAAAATTCATGCGCGCGCGGATGTCATCCATATAATCAAATCAACATGGCCTAACACTAAAATAAGTCTTCGGTCCAAAAAATGTGACAGTGTAACCAATTCAAATTATCTCATTACAGATCATCACTTAACGAGTTCAGCGTTGCCTGACAACTTCCAGGTACTAGGTGTAACCGTCCAACATGGCGGATAACAACTACGTCATAGTCACGTGAGTACAAACAATTGTCATGTCAATCAAAATGGGTTTCATAAGAACGTCGGCAGAACGAACTGCGCCTGCGCAAAACCACGGTTTTCGTTGGATTTTTGGTCAATGTTGCATCAGAATTTTGCCTGTTGCAGACGATATCTTTTCCGACATAACATTTGAAAACTACTGTCGGGATGCTAACCTTATATGAGCAAATACACCCATATATGAGACGTTCTGCCGAATTAAGTGCTATGTACAATACATTACAGGTTTTGCGCAGGTGCAGTACATTCTGCCGACGTGCTATTAAAATGGGTGTCACGTATTATCATTGGCGGTCTTGTCAAAGCAATGAATGCTTCTGCCATTTTGCGATGTTGCGTAACTAGGCCTTGGCAATGCTGCCATGTGCCAAAATCAACATGACCTGCGATGACCTCAAGTCAATATAATTATGATAAGCCTCGGTGCGAAATACATCACGTGGATTTGGCACGCGCTAGCTGAATGAACACTCGGTCAAACACGCGGGACCTTCCCACGACTTGCCTCCGACCAAGGTCGGTGCTATTTTTTTATTCCAACATGTAATCACAAGACGTGGTGACAGCACACTCAAGTTTTTTTTCAACTCATATTACCTTATATGCCACCACCAATACAGGGGACAATACAATAGCCTCTACCAGGCTTCAGGAGGCGGCTGGAAAGAGTGGAAATAGGCCAAATAGAGAGATAACATGCCAGGGGAGTTAGTCCGCCGTGAGAGAACAATTTGCCAAGCGCGGACCAACTCCCTCAGCATGTTATCTCTCTATTTGGCCAATTTTTTTCTACTCTTTCCAGCTGGTATAGGCTAACAATACAATACAATACTCATTTTTCAACTGTGCGAAGTGAGGAAAGTCGTGTGAATTGCCTTTCCCAAGGGAACAAGATCGGTGACATGTCGGGACTTCGAACCCGGGACCTCTTGGTTCCGAGTCGAGCACTCTACCGCTACGCCACACGACCCCAGGGAGCTATTGTATGAGTCGCCTGCAGTTTCAGCTCGATAGTGCTCTGACCACTTCCAAGCAGAATTTGACTTTCCCGAATTTGAATTTCGTTTCAAAATGCATAGTCGGCTGGCACAGGCAGCTCTTAACGACTTGTAGGCAACGTCTCCGATCCACACGCAACCACAATCAATTTTTCGTTGTATTTTGCATCGTGTGCTACCTTTTCTGCATTCTTCATTGGGTGGGAAATTGTTCATGTGCTTCCAGCATCTTTGCTGTTTATTACGTTGTGTTACATAATTTACTATGTATTATCTGTATTTCCTTATATTGGGTTCCTTTTTGTTAATTTATCCTCTCATTATATGTAAGTGGTAGTGTTAAAAAAATAAGTCTTAGTTACTTGAGTGCGCTATAACTACTACTTTATGTTGTACTCTCTTCCTCAATGTCTGAACAATTAAGAAAACACAGATGACGTAATTCCCAACAACAGTCTAAAAAAAAGACCATGACCGGTTGTGTGACAGGGCAATGCCCTATACTTCACGCCCACGCGATAACCTGTCACTTAACCGGGCACATCCAGTATTTTTAAATAGCTTTTTTTTTTATTCCAACATGTAATTACCAGACGTACGTGGTGACGACACACATAAGTTTCTTCAACTTATAGCCGCCACCAACACAGGGGACAAATACATTGCAGGACAATACTGACTCCGACATTTACAATACTCATTTTAACATGAGCTAAGTGAGGAAAGCCGTGTAAAGTGCCTTTCCCAAGGGCACAAGATCGGTGGCATGTCAGGACTCGAACCCGGGACTCTAAGTTCCGAGTCGCGCACTCTGCCGCTACGCCACACGACCCCACTACATCCAGTATTAAGTACACACACGTGCGTCTCCGTGTGACTGGGCTCGTAACCTTCGCTAAGAAGGTTATGTTTTCAGTAGCGTTTGTCCGTCTGTTTGTCTGTTAATTATTAAGTACATACACGTATACACGTGGGGCTCCGGGTGACAAGACTGGCCTGGTTGTTTGTTTTTAAGATCTTATTTTTAGACCCATTAGAAGGTTTGAAATCTTACTATGAAATTGAGCTTTGTAGGTATTTCTGCTGTCTACCTGCACCTAACCTGCACTGGTCCATGTACTGGTTATTTGGTTATTTGCGAGTTAGCACAGTACAATTCGAGCTGTGTAGGTATTTCTGATGTCTACCGGCACCTAACAACATGTACTGGATTTTATATATGTGTATGGAGTTTTATTTTGTTGACTGGCACCACCTACATTTTGATGAAGAAATAAAGGCAATGGTTTCTGAACAGTTTTTAGTGATCCATACTTTCTAATTCTGAGCAGTGAAGGTATGTTACCGGTAAAATTGCCTGTCTATAGGTAAATTTTCAATGTTTTCGATGTAGGTAATTCTGAATGTTTCCCAGTACCACCAGTGCAGGTATGCAGAAACAAGTATTTTGAGCCCTGTGTTAAAAGTTATCCAGCAGAGCTGCGACATCTAGCGAAATTAGACCAAATGGCAGCTCCTGCGTTTTTTGTTTGGATAAGATCTCTGCTATACCTGTCAGTTTAACTACTCTAAAGAACAAAGTAACAATGACAGTTTCTGAATGAATAAATAAGTCCTTTATTGTCCAATATGTTACGTACAGGCCACAACAAAGGCATAGTTTAGTTTGTAAACAGCGTAAACATCTAGTTATTAAGTAAATTCAAATTCTCGCATTTCTGTGATGGCAAAAAGGTAAGAACAGACATGTTTTAGGATAAGAGCTAATTTAGAAATGTGAATTTATCTGTATGACTTATTTGAATGAAGCAAGGAAACGTTGATGTTAACAGTTCCAACTCTTTTATTGCATTAATGTATCGACACTAAAACGAATTTTGCATTGTTGCTTCTGCGTCAGGAAACCGGTGCCGGGTAGGTGAACTGCAATAAAAATGCAAAGATGCTTTTCAGTAGTTCTCGAAATATTGAGGTTTATTGAGGAAAAGCTCTCCTTTAGCTGCCCACCCGAGGGTGGCAGCTATTCTTCCAGGAGACGGTACATAAGACATAGCAATACATCACATACAATTACATATACATTTACATTACATAGTATTTTAAAAGAAGACAAATGTGTAACATCGTATGTGCTCTACTTATTCATGTCCCTCATGTGTTTTGGTAGGCCTTGTATACAGAACTGTACTAACTGTAATTTGTAGGAAAAAAAACAACTTCTAAAGTCGCAAGTTGACAATAAGGATCTTTTCCCTGCCTCCCTTACAAATTTACACGGTATTGTCGTACATTTGCAAGTGAATTGTTGCTCTTTATAAGTTTTGCATCAGTTAGCCAGTTAATGTATAATACGCTCGTATATTAGAGTAACTGCTCAGAAATATTACATAGTATATAGACCGTTTTGTACAGCAACAAACGTTTACGATGCAGAAACATACAGAGCTGTTTTAGTGATCAAGCTCCAGTTGATTTCCTTGTACAAAAGGATATCAGAGTCCTTACTATGATCTACCAAATTGGGTATTTCAATTGCAATTTATTTATTTAAACAGTAATTACAACTCAGGCCATTTTGGCCTGCTTTTCAGGTAATCCTGGATACACATAAAAGTACACACACAAATACACAGTACATAAACCATTACTAATTACAACATCCTAAACATCAACAGTGTCAAGTCCTGCTCCTAAAGGTGTCCTCCCTGGCTAATTTGGCATTTTAAGTTTTCATCGTTTTCTCACAAAGAAATTTAGAAAGAACTGCGGTTGTACTGAATATTGATACCTGGGTACAAAAGGGTTACGAATATGATTTTATGGACTATATGGATGACGTCATCACATTTTATTGCCCCAAATGTAATTATCTTGAAAGTTATAATATTGCACTTTGGTACAAGTAACTAAAATAAAAATATGATTTTCATGTGCATAATGGTCAAAGCTACAAACGTGCGTTTGCACAAATTGATATCTACTAATTACCCGTAGTTATTAGAGAATAACTAGATTTTAATTAGGCAATTAGGTTTTTCTCTAATAACTACGGGTAAAGGACGAAGAGAGTGCTACTTACAGTTGGCAGTGTTTAATGGCTTTAGGCCATGACCCTGTCATAGAGGAACATCATCTTATCGGATTCGGAGGCATCCAAGAAACCGTCACCTGAAAACAGTAAATCAGAAGAAAAAGCGATTGTTTTAAGTTTGTTGAAAAAAAAAACCATGGGAACTGTTGAACGATCGTTTAGACCATTACAGTAAAAAACAAATTAGACCTCCTCCCCGAGATCTTGTTTCCATACACCTGTAACTTGAGAACCATTCCCATTCACAGAACTACAAATATAGGACCTTAGGGTTCTTCATCGCTATGAAGAACGATGCAACAGGGGCTCAGGATTCTAGGGGCCTGTCCAGTCGAAGGGATGCTAGACTTGTCATGATAGGCTAGGCTTGATATGGGCCTAAATAGTGAGAGGCTGCTAGAACATGATGTAGCCAGGCTAGGCTAGGGGCCTAACCAGTGGAAACACTGCTAGAGGCTAGGGGCCTGACCTGTGTAAGGCTGCTAGAAACGTGATTAAGTCAGGCTAAGCAACAGAGGAAACCCTACCGTTGATGTCATGGTAGTTGAAGAGGTCGTCCAGGCGGAGGGTGTGCATCTCGCCGAAGCTCAGGATCCCGTCGTTGTTGTGGTCCAACCTATTGAAAAGGAGCTGGGTTCCAACGTACATGGTGAACTCCTGAGCGTCCAAGTGGTTGTCATCTGCACGGACAAGATGAGGAAGACGTTTGGTAAGATCATGTTAAGAAATGTGCCTGCAGGTCCAGGGAGAGATGCTAGGGTTTATAAACTAACAACAAAACAGAAAAAAAACCGTTTTGTTTCTTGGGAGGTCACTAAAGACATGATTAACTGTATTGTATTATCAGAAGTTAGAATCGGAAGGTTCTGAGTTATCTAGCAGGCCCCATAGTTGTGTCCTTGTACGTATTTGCTTAATCGACTCAATCGTAAATATTATGTACCTAGCTTCGATAAGGGACGTCCTCTCTGACGGGACTTTATGCTAGAAGCTCCATGCACATGCCACAGCTCAAGCTTCACACATATCAAAAGGTGGAGGTTCATCTGGAGTGGATCAAACCTTACAATCTCGCCTTACGTACTATAAAATTGCGCCTATAGACCGTTTACAGGTTCTTCAAAGCGGGGTTTCAAGGCGTGGTTAACGTTGTAGTTAGCGTGGTTGATTTAGAATTAGAATTAGAATTAGGAGATTTTGAGTTCCCTAACAGGCTCCAAAGTTGTGCCCCTGCACCTTACACCCTATTCAAAACAAACAAAAAATACGAAACGTACCATCAAGGTCTGCGGCATCCAGAGCCTGGTGCATGGTCATGGCGATGTCCACCTCAGCCAGGCTGATCCAGCCGTCACCGTCAGCGTCCGGACCCATGCCCTGCACGATGTTGGGGTCGGTCTTGATGACGCCGTACACGTACAGAATGCCGTCGGCTTCGGTAGTGTTAAGACTCAGGTAGCCATCACCTGCGATCATATAAATACAAAAAGATCTGTTACATTTTGGATATGCGGTGGTGCAATGTTGTTTATGTGCCCCTGCATTGTATTCATTTAGAAAATATTAAGTATTGTTTGATAATGTTAATCTGTAAAATATACCTCTGTTCTGTAGAATTGAGCATTACATCATCTATTCTATGTTTACTTCTAATACATATATACAGGCTGGTCCTGTAAGGCGCCAGACGTGTGAATGAAGTTTATTCATTCAGTAGGACACATGTTTATTGATGACACACCATTGTCTTATCTAGCCTAGTCTAGTTCTTCAGTTACAATTTGTTTCACTCACTTAAAACAGTCATTTTGGCATCACAATTACATACCAGGACGCTACGAAATTAACCTTTGCGGATTCTTAAAAGCACAAAGTAGGAAAACGAACCGTTGACGTCGTAGATGTCGAAGATTCCCTCCAGGGAGGTTCCGCCCTTGACCTCGTCATAGGACAGCTGGCCGTCCATGTCGGCGTCCAGGAGGTTCACGATAGCCTGGGTGTCAGCGCCGAAGGCGGGCGTCAGCTCCTGTACGGTGTGGAAACCGTCTCCTGCAGGGAGAACAGCGGACCGGATTTACTTCGCGATTCCTTCATCGGGTCTGTTAAACGTAATGATTATTGAACCGGGACGGGGGGCGATACCAACTTTCAATCACAGTTTATCCACTATTTTCGTCATTGATCGATTGGATGACCAAGTGTATATATCTATACCGACCATGCAGGCCCGGATACAGTTACAGAAGCTGGTATGTTACGCCTAAAGCCTTACCGGGACGGCGGACGATGCCGACTTCCAATCACAGTTTATCCATTACTTATGTCATTGGTAGAATGGATGACCAAGTGTATATACCTATACCGACTATATAGATACGGATACAGATACAGAAGCTGGTATGTTACGTCTAAAGCCTGCCATACAGATGCAGACATAAAATGTAAATAGAAGCAGCCGTGTTCGTACCGTTGGGGTCCATGGCGACCATGAACTCATCCAGTGTGAAGGCGCCCAGAACCTCCAGCTTGGAGAGCTTGCCGTCTCCGTTGGCGTCGAGAGCGTTGGTGATGGCAGCGTCGGGGTTCTGGATGGTGTTGTAGATGTAGTTCATCTGGTACGATTCCGACATGTCCAGGAATCCGTCGGCTGCATGCAGCAAAGAGGATGAAATGAAGTGAACATGTTTTGACAAATTCTGAAAACTTGCCTAGAAAAAATCGCGAGCTACGAGCATATGTTTACTACATCTAGTCGTTTATGCAATAGGATGTAGCAAACATACACGTCCTGTACAGACCCACACCCTTATACAACTGGATGTAAACACAGGTTTCATGTCCTTGTACTCTCTAAAGTATGCTTAGCAAAATGAACCCCGTCCAGGCAGATCTATCCACACTAAACCACCTAAAGCATGTTTGTATCTTAATTGTCGATAAAAGACCCCCTTATTGAATTAAGATTTCTGCCGGTTTCCGGTTTGACATCTTGCAATGAAAAAGAATAGTCACCTGTCAAGACAATAGATGAAGAGAAAACGCACCGTTCTTGTCGAAGAGGTCGAAGAACTCGCCCAGGTTGAGCCCATGCTGGAACTCGCCGATGGTGAGATGGTCGTCGCCGTTGTTGTTCAACTGGTAAAAGATGTCTCCAGTACCGAAGAGTTCGACGATCTGCGGCAGGTAGAGGAACCCGTCGTCTGGGGGAACAAAATGGGTCAGACGGACTGTCTAATATTTGTACTATGCCCCTATCACACAAAGACGAATATATATGGCCTAACGAATCTGCCGAACTCCCCCAGCCATGGTTAGGAGTAGGTCAGTTTTTTACTAGTTTACCAGTTCATTCTAGTGACACTGAAGTAAAGTTATCCAATGGATGTGACGAGAAAGGTCCGAAGTTATCCCCATACTTATCCTGTAATAGAGTTTGTATCGTCCATGAATCATTTGTCTATATGTAACAGGACGATCGCATTTGTCGCACAATCGAAATGTAATAGACCTTTTAACTTTAAGCACACTGTGACAGAACCAACTGTTGACAGATATAAGACAGACATTTAGGTAACAAAACAGGTCAATTTTGTACGACAAAAGCACTACTAGGCTGGGATCACACGACGATCGTAGGGCAAATGTGAGCAAGCCCTGAGACGTGCATTAACTTACTATCAATGTCCAAGGCGACAAGAGCGTCGTGCAGAGTGATGGCGTTCAGAACCTCCTGTTTGGAGATCATGCCGTCACCGTTAGCATCCAGCATCATAGTCTGCCTCCTCATTGGAGAAGCGGTTGCCAGGGCAACGAAGAACAGGAGGAAGGGAGTCATGGTTGGTTGGTTGGTGGGTGATGTCAGTAGCTGTAAAAGGCACATGGTGACATCGTTAGGGTGAAATTAAAACATATCGTAGTCATTTTAGCTTTGAGAAAGCAGTGAAAATTTTGAATAATTTGCTGTTGCGAGTGGTAGTTTGAATGACCAGATGGCCTGGGTTTAGAAAGCTTAAGCTTTGTGGAAAAAGTAGAAAAGAAGCTTCATGGATCAGAATTCGTATATCCATTGCCTCAAGTGCAGCAATACGACTACATTTTTTTCTTCGCAATTCCTAAAACAGAGTCCATAGATGAACAGGACAAGAATAAAACTATTTTGCTGCTGCGTAAAAATTGCGGCAGGGCGCGGATAAACTACAGCACAAAAATCGACCTGTGTGAAATCCTCCAGGTTCCAGTTACAGTAAGGAAACAAAGCAACAAAAGTCATAATGGCTAGAATATATAAAGAAGAAAGTGAGGATAAGCAACAAGTCAACTTACCAGTCTGTCTTCTCGGATGTCGAGTTGGAACTTGAGTGGCAGAGGAACGAGATGTGTGTTCTTTTAAACAATTTTGTGACCTTCCTCTGATTGCTCTGAAGAGTTTCTTATCATCTCCCAGGTCTATTTTTAACTTTTCTGTTTATTCCTGGTGCTTTCGTAAGGATAATTTGAAGGATGTTTCGCGTCTCACTCCAAAATAATAATCGTGTATAACAACGTGTCCAAATATCTAACAGGGCAAGGCCGTCATGCGTTTATCTGCCACGACAATGTGCTATAAGATTACTTTATCTAAAGATACTAGTTATGAAATAATGGTACTTATGCAAGGACTATACAACTATTTATATTAGAGTTATAAGACTAGTTATGTAAGGATTATACTATAAGTTATATAAAGATATTGATTTGTAAGTGCTGCATATTGTAATTGAAGTATAAAAGTCTTAGTGTAATACTTTTCACTTTTAAACCTTAACGATATAACGATATTTTCATGGAAAGACTTGTGCCTATCCATGACTTCACAGTTGCGTCTGCACATGGTACTATGACGCTGGTTTTGAAGAGTCAAAACTATAAATTTTCTTATGTATGATGTCATATCCATGTGATCGAGTTGCACGTGCAGTTTCCGATTGGCGCTTGCAATAGACTATTTATAGATGTTTTTTCGCGTAATGTTGTCTTACAAATACCATCGTCGCTGTGACGTCATGTGAAGACGTAGATGTGACGTCATGTGCATACAGATGTCTGCCCCGTTTAAATTTCACATCAATAAGAAAATAAAAACATCTGACATTTTTACACAGACATTACAATAAACAGTATTATAAATCATTAGCAACCCTTATCAAGTAGTACCCTTTCGTAACTACGTCTTTACATAACTAGTACCTTCACATAACTAGTATTGTTACATATAAACTAGCGTCCTTGCACTACCAGTATCGTTACAAAACTAGTATTTTTAGACATTAAGTCAACTAGCATTTTACATTACTAGTACCTTTACATAAATGCTAATCTTTACATAAAGAGTTGCATAATTTTGGCGTAACTAGTGCCTTCGCATTACTAGTAATGTTACAAAACTACTGCAGCCCAATACAGTAAACACGTGTGTAACCGGGCAAGGCCTTACTATGTTTATCTGGTAGGACGATGAGCTAAAAAGATAATAGTATTAAAATGATGCAACAATGCTAGTTATGCAAGGATTACACAACGAGTTAGGTAAGGATGATGCAACTAGTCATGTAAGACGTCGGTGAAGGTTAGACATCAAGGTATTAAGATATGCCAAAAAAGTTACTCAAGCAACTGGATATGATTTTGGAAACGGTCAGACGTTTCAGGTAGCATCCACTAGCTTTCGTTAGTGTTAGTTAATATGTAAGAATACCGTACTGTGCAGTGGTAGTATATGATTGTTATATTTGTGATGTAAGAATGATATTTCTAGTTGGTGAGTTGGTGAAATACATAATGAAAAGTAAACTGTTCTCCAACTCAAGGATCTAAGGTCTAAGGTAAGGTCCAACTCAAGGCGCGAAAATAACCAGAAATTTTCTAACGAATCGCTCACAGTTTTCATCAGCTTTATAACCAGAATGCTGTGGACACGTGACTTTTAGCCACGTGTGACGTCAGTAATGGGTCAGCTTTATCATAACATGGTTACATTACGTCAAGATACCAGTCATAAAAATATACTAGTAATTTAAAATACTAGTTGACGTAATGTCTTAAAATACTTGTTTTGTAAGAATACTAGTTGTGTAACGACGCTAGTTAATATGTGACAATTATACTTGTGTAATAGCACTAGTTTTGTAACAATCTTAGTTATGTAAAGACAATAGTTATATAGATATGCTAGTTGTGTAAGGATACTAATCTAGAAGGGTTGTTAATGATTTTATAATACTGTTAATTGTAATTTCTGTGTAAAAATGTCAGTGTAATTTATTGCTGCCAATTTTATCTTATGGATGTGAAATTCAAACGGGGCAGACATCTGTCTGCACATGACGTCACAGCTACGTCTACACATGACGTCACGCCTTTGATGCTGGTAGGAAGACAATATCACGTGGACTAAACCATTCATAGTGCTGCCGAACATCGAAAACTGCACGTGAAACTCAATCACGTTAATATGACATCATACATAAGGAAATTTATAGTTCTGACTCCTCAAACCAGCATCTTAGCTGTAGCACAATGTGCAGACGCAGTTGTGAAGTCATGGATAGACACAAGTCTTTCCAAGAAAACATCATTTAGATTTCATGACCATTAGAAGGTTAAAAAGTGAAAAAAACATATTTATTGTAAACATTTTTCACTTAAATTACAATAAGCATCACTTACGTTGATACAAATTGATATCTTTCCATAACCAATGAGTCCTTGACATAACTAGTTGTATAATTCTTATGTAAACAGTTGTATAATCCTTGCATAACTAGCATTATTGCATAACTAGTATCTTTAGATAACGTTATCTTTATAGCGCATCGTCGTGGCATATAAACACAGTACGGCCTTGTCCGGTTATAGATATACATAACGTGTTTATTGTATTGGGGTGAGACGCAAAACATCCTGCAAATTATCTTTAAGAAAGCACCAGGAATAAACAGAAAAGTTAAGAATAGACCTGGGAGATGATAAGAAACTCTTCAGAGCAATCAGAGGAAGGCCGTTAAACTGTATAAAAGAGCACACATCTCGTTCCTCAGTCACTCAAGTCCCCACTCGACACCCGAGAAGACAGACTGGTAAGTTGATGACTTGTTGCTTATCCTAACTTGCTTTATATTTTAGTCATCACTTTGTACTGTTTCCTTACTGTAACACTGCTGCAATTGTTACCCCGTAGTCTAATTGCAACACCTGGGGCAATGGATATTCTTACCAGACTGATCCACGTTTTACAAACCCAAACCTGTTCATCTGTAGACTCTGATTTAGGTGCTAGTACTACGGATAAAAAAATGTAGTCTTATTGAAACACCTGGAGCAATGGATATACTAGTTTTCTGACAAGACAAATCCATAAAGCATCTTTTCCACTTTTTCAACATAGCTGAACAAACCCTGGTCATCAACGCCTGGTCTACCACTCGCAATAGTAAATTATTCTAAATTTTCACTGCTTTCGAAGTTAAAATGACTTTATATGTTTTGATTTTACCCTAACGATGTCACTATGTGCCTTTTTTCAGCTACTGACATCACCCAACCAAACCACCAACCAACCAACCATGACTCCCTTCCTTCTGTTCTTCGTTGCCCTGGCAACCGCTTCTCCAATGAGGAGGCAGACTATGATGCTGGATGCTAACGGTGACGGCATGATCTCCAAACAGGAGGTCCTGGATGCCATCACTCTGCACGACGCTCTTGTCGCCTTGGACATTGATAGTACGTCAATATACATTGCATATAATACATGTAGGGCCCGGTCACATTTTTCGTACGATAGGCATATTTCGGCTATATGTCCGACATTGTACAAACTTTAGGCAGTCCGTCTAACTCATTTTGTTCCCACAGACGACGGGTTCCTCTACCTGCCGCAGATCGTCGAACTCTTCGGTACCGGAGACATCTTTTACCAGCTGAACAACAACGGCGACGACCATCTCACCATCGGCGAGTTCCAGCATGGGCTCAACCTGGGCGAGTTCTTCGACCTCTTCGACAAGAACGGTACGTTTTCTGTTTATATATTGGCTTCGCAGATGACTATCGTCATTAATTTCAAGATGTCAAACCAAAGACTGGTCTACTTCCAGCGGAACGAACCACCTAAACCTTTCGATAGGTGTGGTGGGTTCTTTAGTTTGCCCGGAGTGTGGCTCTATCGAACTTTAGGGGGTTAAATGTGAACTTTGCATGGATGGGGCACATTTTACGATAGACTGTAAGCATAGTTTAGAGATTACAAGACACCTATGTTTACTACATCTTGTTGCATAACCTACTAGACAAGAACATATTTAGTTGGCTTGGTTTGAAATGAGCTCTAGAATTTGTTTGGTTCGAGGCATTTTTCGGAATTATCAAAACATGCTCACTTCATTTCATCTTGTTTGATGCCTGCAGCTGACGGATTCCTGGACATGTCGGAATCGTACCAGATGAACTACATCTACAACACCATCCAGAACCCCGACGCTGCCATCACCAACGCTCTCGACGCCAACGGGGACGGCAAGCTCTCTAAGCTGGAGGTTCTGGGCGCCTTCACACTGGATGAGTTCATGGTCGCCATGGACCCCAACGGTACGAAAACGGCTGCTTCTATTTACATTTTCTATCTGCACCTGTATGGCAGGCTTTAGACGTAACATGCCAGCTTCTGTATCTGTATCCGTATCTATATAGTCGATAGAGGTATATACACTTGGTCATCCATTCTATCAATGACATAAGTAATGGATAAACTGTGATACCTGCATCTGTGAAGCAGGCTTTAGGGGTAGCATACCAGCTTCTGTGTCTGTATCCAGATCTGTATTGTTAGTGTAACCTCCTATTACCACAAACACTTGGTCATCCATTCTACCAATGGCATAAGTAATGGATAAAGTGTGATTAGAAGTCGGTATCGTCCCCCATCCCGGTTCAATAATGTTTGATGGACCCGATGAAGGAATCGCGAAGTAAATCCGGCCCGTTGTTTTCCCTGCAGGAGACGGTTTCCACACCGTGCAGGAGCTGACGCCCGCCTTCGGCGCTGATACCCAGGCTATCGTGAACCTCCTGGACGCCGACATGGACGGCCAGCTGTCCTATGACGAGGTCAAGGGCGGAACCTCCCTGGAGGGAATCTTCGACATCTACGACGTCAACGGTTCGTTTTCCTACTTTGTGCTTTTGAGAATCCGCAAAGGTTAATTTCGTAGCGTCCTGGTATGTAATTGTGATGCCAAAATGACTGTTTTAAGTGAGTGAAACAAATTGTAACGGAAGAACTAGACTAGGCTAGATAAGACAATGGTGTGTTATCAATAAACATGTGTCCTACTAAATGAATAAACTTTATTCATAAGTCTGGTGCCTTACAGGACCAGCCTGTATATATGTATTAGAAGTAAACATAGAATAGATTAGGCGATTTGAAATTTTACAGAACAGAGGTATATTTTACAGATTAACATTATCAAACAATACTTAATATTTTCTAAATTAATACAATGCAGGGGCACATAAACAACATTG